TTTTGCAAAGAGTGGCTTATGCTTAATTACAGCCAAAAAGTACCCATGATGCGATCTTACCTTTTACGGGCTATTACATCTGCAGTTTCCCTCACGCTTCTCCCTCTCCCTCGCTGCTGATGAGCCAGCATGCAACAACAGTTGGCCTTTTTTCCCTCCAAAAGCCTTTCTGCACAAAGAGCATTTGTTCATGAGTTTGTAATAAAAGAAAAGTGGCTTTCTAAGTGCTGAGATCATTTTGAGTAAACCAAATGATGTCTGAATCAGCTTCTTTTCCCTATGAGCATCTCAAATCAAAGGAAGAAAGACCATGCAAAGGGTGCACATATAGGTTCCAGTTAAGTTTTCTTGAACTAGGACGTTTCCTAACATGACCATGATAAGAGATGTTCGAATTCTCTAGATCAGGGGTCTCAAACTCGGCCCGGGGGCCAAATCCGGCCCGCGACTTCATTTTATGTGGCCCCGCAAGAGCTTGCAAAGAATATAATACGTTTATTATATGGTTACATAACACTTTACAGAAGCAGGTTGCCCATAAACTACATGTCCCACAATGCATCTCGTTTTGTGACATGCGCACTGAAGAGACTTGCAATTATTTACCCTGGACTTCTGCTTTGACGTAGTTAATTACTAAGTTATTATCCTATCCGATAATAATCCAATTCAGAGGCAATAATGTAATATAATACATTATTTTATATATATATATTATATATTTATATAGTTACAACCGGCCCTTTGAGTGCAACCTTTATGCGAATGTGGCACGCGATGAAATTTAGTTGGTAGATGATCAGAAAGGAGTTTAATGCTTCCTTTATAATCTCCTTTAGTTTAGGATACACTGGACCATCCTTTATGAAAGGAAATTAGAAAACCATATCCCACAATGCCTTGGGGCCGCAATGTTTCTAGTGACGCACCATTTGGCCGTTCATGAAAACAAATTGTCGTGAGAAATGGATCATGTAAGTAATGGTGCTTTTTAAATTAATAAGTCATGCATATATTGCAAAACACATTATTTATTTACATTTGTTCATAAAATCATACTATGAATTTGGATTCATGCTGATTAATATGAGTGGACAGGAGGTAGAGCATGAGCCACCGTTTCCTTTGACTTTCCCTTTCGTTTTTCTAAACATGAAAATCCATCTGGAGATGATTCCACAAAAACGTGCAGTCTTGGCCAGAAGGGGACAATGTCCAACGTTCATCAGGTGTTTCGACCCTTAACCTTTCACTTGCAGATTGAATGAAACAACACCAAAATAATGCATCGGATGAATAATTTAGATTCTCTTTGTTGTGAAATGAATAATAACATCAACTTGGCGCATAATAATTACATCGCAAAGTGAAAGTGAAGTCAGCACCCACAGTTTTGTTTTCCTAAATTCTGATGGATTCTACTTATCATCTTTCTTTTCCCCCTGAGGTTAAGGAAAAGTGGTTTGGAAAAGACATAGAATAACCCCTAACCCTAACCTATTTCTTTTGACAATTCGACCGTAGCCAAGATTTGGCTTCAACCTGCGCTAATTTTTTACACTTCAGATAAAGATGGGCATGCCAGCTGTTCTTAGTGGCACCTCTATGTGCAGGTTTGATGGGCGGAGCAGTGGCCACCCAGCGCTCCGTGGATGGATGGGCTCTCTGGGCCTGTTTGACTGGAAACAGGTGTGTCATCTGAAGATGAAGGCCGGGCCGATAAACATTATTGGAGAACATCTGCTGCTTGTCACAACACAGGGCGAGCAGGAGCGGCCCCCCATCCATCAGCCACACCGGAGAGAGTGGGTGAGGGGGGGACTCCATCCTCCATCACTCACCCCGGGATGCTGGAGCATGTTCGGTCCAGGCACCTGCCTCTGCCCGCCCCCTTTGGCCCATAGAGGAGAAAATGTGTGCTCCAGCGCACTTGAAAAATGCCTTAGGGAGAGCACTTTCACTCTGACACACACACACACACACACACACACACACACACACACACACACACACACACACACACACACACACACACACACACACACACACACACACACACACACACCACACACACACACACACACACACACACACACACACACACACACACACACACACACACACACACACATACATCACTTCAGGGGACATTACATTGACTTACATGCATTTCCTGGAGACTAACCTTAACCATAACCAACATATGCCTAACCCTAACCCTAACCCTAACCCTAATCCTAAACCTAACCAAGTCTTCACCCTAAAATTAATGATTCCCCTCATGGGGACCTCCAATTTGTTCCCATAAGGGCGGCGAGTCCCCACACGTGACTGTGTAAACAGATTTAGGTCCCCACAAGTATAGGAATGCTAGGCCACACACACACACCTTTTACACCACCAGTGGACCCTGCTCCGGTGCCTCTCACACCCCCACTCACTTTAGACTACTGTCAGGGAGGCCTTAATGCTTGACCCTTCTCTGGTTGATGAGAGATGCCTGGTATTAGCCGCGTGTAGAAACACACACTGATATATCCACACACACACAGGATCCCATAGGTCTCCATGACAGCTGCAACCTCTCTCCACCTTGCGTCCATATCTTACTGCACCCTCCCACCCCACTCAAAGAAATCAATACCATGCAACACTGCATTCAAAACACACAATTCAAAAATAGACGTTTAAAAGTAGGTGTTTTTTGGGGCCGTTTAAGACACATGGACGCAATAAAGAAAAGACCATGGAAATAATGACAGTGAAATTCGAGTTTATCACTTTTACACAGACAAAATGTCCTAATGTAGCTCCACTGACAGGAAATGAACACAGTAGGTTATGACTGATATAAGTGACCTGAGATAGTATACAAATACAGCTTTTACAAATAAGACGCACCCTTATTTAAATGCACAAGTGTAGTGTTGATAGCAGTTGTGATATGGGTCTTTTCAATATTGTGCAACCATAAAAACGTGAACAAATACTGCAGAAAAAGTATTAACAACATTTGATGCTTGTATATAAGACTCAAACAAACAGACTCAATAAACACAGATCTGAAAGAAGTGCAATGTCTGCAAGTTTTGCCCGCAGTATTTCGCGACCAGCACACCGCACTGCAATAAGAAAACCCACAATCAATGCTAATAAATGGAGAGTGTTTCTGACGCTGGTGGTAAATTAACTATGTTCATTCAGATACCATGAGCCATGCTGAAATAACTTATGGATAGGCAATATCTTAATGGGCTTTCGTAAAAGGTGCAGGGACAATGACAATAAGTGAAGGGTTCTTTTCTTGTGAAATGATAGCATTTGTTTAGAATAATCTATAAACCAAGAGACCAATGATCTGAGTTTGTCATGGAGCCTATTTCCTCCACTGCTTATGTCATTTTTCTTTGTCAATGTTGGTCATCTGCTCGAAGTTTATAGAAATAAATGTGTAATGTTTTGTTTTTTTGGGGGACTTTAACTCCCTACCGGCCTCATCCTTCAAGAAGAAGGCGTGCACTTCCCCTTTAAGAAGTCTTTTACTAATTTAATGTCCAAAATAATTTAATTTTTGCTCCTATATCAACAAATAATAATGTATTTGAATTGTGGTTATGTCTCTTGAGAGGACCCATGTGATAATTATCTTTTGTTAAAGTACAATTGACTAAAATGTAGCTCCAAATGAGGAGAGATTGATTCCACCTGGGTTAAAGTGGGACTGATTACAGAGCTTGTCTCTGATTGGCTACAAGAAGCAGGTGACAGGAAGTAAAAGTTTCAGCACACAACAGACGGGTCGTTGTGTATTTTTTAGTGATGGGAATTCCGGCTCTTCTTGGTGAGCCGGATCATTTGGCTCGGCTCACCAAGAAGAGCCGGCTCTTTCGGCTCCCACACGGCTCTTCAGTTTACCACATATTATACCTTTTAATTAAATCAAATGTAGCCCTGTTTTGACAAATTATATATGTACACATATATCACTTAAATTATTCAATACAACCTTTGTACTGAAGTATTCAAAGGTAAAAATTACATGTTTAATATAAATGATTTGCTGTGGCCAATTGTTTTCATTGCATTTACAGACCCATGTAACTCTCCGATACCACCCAATGAATGCATTGACTTGCTTCTGGAACCACGCTACACAAAACAGATAGCAACACCTATAAAAACTATTTAAAAAAAGGGGCTACTGTATCGACCTATATAAAAGATCCTGCATTTTAACCATGCCTCATTTCGCTCTATTTGCTCTTTCCAGCGCTGTTTTTGCAGGGGGCTGATTCTGTGAGCTGCAGCTGACCACGCCCCCCTGTAGGAGAGGGGAGCGTGCTTTGAGATCAGCTGCTGGGCTGTCAGAAGAGGGGGAGAAAAAGAGATCTCCGTCCTCCGTGTTTTATTCTTATCGAAGTAAGAAGAGAAGTAATGGGGCAGAAACCCTCCTTTTTACGCAGCGGTCCAGACATAGACATCAAACGGCGACACATTCAGTTGCCAGTTACTTTGGCATTAGGGCAGGGATATCTAGATACTTTCCAAGGTTTGACATCATGAATTGTGCTACTTTTAAAGCAAGCAACGATGTTTTCAAATCTGTAATCAAAAAGCTCCTCAAAAACACTATCGAAGCAGTTCCTGCCGTTGCTACGTTAGTTCAAACAGTAACAACGGACTACTTTTCTTAGCGGATGCATGTCAATTTAAATCAATACATAAAACTATTTTTTAAATCAATAAAATCATTTTCTAAATCCATAAAAGCATTTAAATTAATATTGGGAGTCATGTCGTTACTTTGTTGAGAATGTCGCCATGTAATAAGCGGGATAATGTGCACATTGCACATTGCATAATGTGCCTTCAAGCCGATCTAGATCCCTCCGCAAAAAAAAAAAAAAAACGGCTCGTTCGCGGGCAAGAGCCGGCTCCCGTCGTTCACTTAAAAGAACCGGCTCCCGTCGTTCACTTAAAAGAGCCGGCTCGTTCGCGACGGACACATCACTAGTGTTTTTCACTGCAGAAACAAATGGAGGAAGGACAGTGTGTTGTGTACTGCGAGATGTATTTCTCTTTAACTGAATGCAGAGGGGCCTGAGTGATAAACCTGATGAAATGGTTTATGATTCTCCTTTTCTTTGGCCGTTCAAATAATTTGTGTTTGTCTGCACACTGGTCAAATCTAATCACTCTTATATCCACCTCACTACCGACCTACTACAAGAACAACAGGGTTACAATTGTTTGGGAAAATATACAGTTCCACAAAGAAATGTGTGAAATCATAACATAAAACTTGAGCAACAAATTAAAATTAATTGCATAATGCTTGGTGAGGGTGAAGACACTTTCCTTTGCATGTTTTCATATTAATAGATTCTGGCTTTTGAAATGTGTGTGAGGAAAACAAATCAGACATCAATTATAATTTAAAGCCAAGTACATGTTTATATCCTAGGATTTGTAACACCCCCTGCTTCAACATGTATGGCTTCTTTATTAGAACATCAGCCCAACGTTAGTCCCTGTATGTGGATCTGTGTGGATGTTCTGAATAAGTCACCCATACCTTTCGAAATCTGTTTAAGAGGCATTTCAATTTTCACCAGAAATATGCTTCTGTTCTGCTGACCATCCACTTTTTTGTGGCCACATAAAAACAAAATGTAGGTTATAAAAGTTCTCCAGTGACAAGAATGTCTCAGTTACACGTATTGTACAAATTCCCTTAAGAAAGAAACCTTACCAGGTGATTAAATGTAAAACTGGGAAAGCAAATGAACCGCTTTCCATCAGCAATACTCACAAATATGATGCAGGTATTTGTGGGTTATTGCTATGAAGTCTGTGTAACCCTGGACTTTGAATCGTAGACAGTCTGGGGTAGGTAGATGGTCCCCTGAGGGCCCCTCACATGCCAGGCCCCAGCTCCAGGCTCAGTGATGGAGTGCCAGTCTCTGACAGCTGAGTACCAGTTTCACAACTAACATCACCTTCACCAAGATGATCTGAGTAATGCCTCACAGAGCCGAGCCCCGTGTCTGGACGTCCAGTCAGGAGTTTGTACCTCTGCTTTGGTTATGTGGTTTTGCTGCCCGCTCTTCTCTTTCTTTGGGACACTGAAAAGTTCAACGGTCCCGGGGTTTGGTGTAGCAGCGCTGAAAAGAAAGGAGAAAAACATAAGCAAGAAGACATCAGCACTATTTGGAAATGAAAAGCAAATGTTCTGGGTTTTTTGGAGGAGAAGTAACTGGTACGTCGTCTCCCGTGTGCTTGGCTTTGAGGAGGTAAAATGAAGACAGCCCTGAGGCGGCTGCATGCTGGGCGCAGATTAAAATAACTGTCAGGAGACAGGAGCAGCTATTGAGGGAGACAGGCTGACACACAGAATGATGGGGCTCAGCCTCTCACACACAGTGACAGTATTTCACTAAAGCTGGTTCAGCTTTACAGCCCGTGACGACCTGTGTGTGTGTGTGTGTGTGTGTGTGTGTGTGTGTGTGTGTGTTCGTTTTGCTTTATCTTGACCTGTGTGTGTGTGTGTGTGTGTGTGTGTGTGTGTGTGTGTGTGTGTGTGTCTGTACAGTCACATTGTGGGGATTTTCCCTTTCTTTAGGAGGCACAATTGAAGTCCGACAATGATTGTAAGTTAATGAAGCATCCTAAAGTAAGTGTGTGTGTGCGTGTGTGTGTGTGTGTGTGTGTGTGTTCGTTTTGCTTTATCTTGACCTGTGTGTGTGTGTGTGTGTGTGTGTGTGTGTGTGTGTGTGTGTGTGTGTGTGTGTGTGTGTATGTGTGTGTGTTTGTTTGTGCAATATCCTCTAAAGTAAGTTTTTAGAGGACTCCCCTTTTTTAAGAGGACACAATTGATGTCCCGACAATGAATGTAAGTTAATGAAGTATCCTAAAGCAGTGTTTCTCAAACTTTTTCATACCAAGGACCACTTAACCAATACAAAAACACTCGCGGACCACCTAACTCCACAAATATCCAAAAACACATCGTTTTTCTAGAACAGATTACAAATCGCCCTGAAAATTGTACAAACAGGTGGTAACATGTGTGACGAAGGTGTTGCTCTGGGCTATATCATGCAATTGAAAGTGAAACTTAACCTCGTTACATTGCGGAGATATTTCCGCGAGAGTGCGGAAAACTTAAATTAACTTATTTATTTAAAATGTGAAATGTTACCAATATACTCACGGACCACTAGGGGACGTTCACGGACCACCAGTGGTCCGCGGACCACACTTTGAGAAGCACTGTCCTAAAGTAAGTGTGTGTGTGTGTGTGTGTGTGTGTGTGTGTGTGTGTGTGTGTGTGTGTGTGTGTGTGTGTGTGTGTGTGTGTGTGCAATATCCTCTAAAGTAAGTTTTTAGAGGACTCCCCTTTTTTAAGAGGACACAATTGAAGTCCCCATAATGTATGAAAGTTAAGGTATTATCCTCTAAACTGATGGAAATGTTTGTGTGTGTGACAAAGTTATTTACATTTTATTATAAGCATTAATACACAAATCAAATGAAACAGAAAACTATAATAAAAGCGGGTCATGTGTGAGTCTGTACAGCCACATTGTGGGGACCGCCTACCTTCAGGGGTCCTAAAGTCCCCATAACATAAATCATTACATTTGAGCGTGAAGATTTGGTTAAAGTTAGTCTCTAGGAATTCACTGTAAATCAATGTTATGTCTTCTGAAGTAGAGGAAACACGACAAAGTCAGAGAGAGGCTTACCTTCGGTACAGGTGGGGCCCAGCCAGGTGAGAGGGCACAGGCACCGCCCACTGAGCCCCTCACAGCGGGCCCTGTGGGAGCACTGACACGGCAGAGAGCAGTCTGGTCCGAAGCGCTCTCCACCACAATCTGAGACAGAAAAGGGAGGGAGAGTTTTCAAAACAACATGTGTTAAGGACAAAAAAACATGGATTTATGGGACATTTGGAGCTGATTAAATGTTAATGAAACTAGATGATTGACCTTTTTCACATCTCTGTCCCATCCTTCCTGGGGGACAGAGGCACCGCCCGGTAGATGGGTCACATGGGGCCTCACCAGCACAGTCACATGACTCTCCACAGCTCAATCCAAACCTGCCAGACTCACACCCTGAAAACAGATGTATGCTTATATTACTGTAGTTATGAGAACGTCCATGCATTTATAAATTGCATAACCATCTTCCCAACATACAGCAAGAAAAATGTACTAATGGTGAACTTTTTTTTATTATGAAAAGGTATGCCTTGCACTAAAATCTAGTTTTAGTTTTAAAAGTGAATCCAAATTCCTGTGCTATCCATAGAGTATAAGGGATAAGTTAATGAACTGCACAATTAAGAAATATATAGACCTTTTAAAATGTGATCATAGTCCTACTTTTGTATCCGTATTAAGTCTGCTACATGTTTAAATGCAAGACCATATGAATGAGACTGTGCAGAATCACATAAATATACACAAGCACAAACAGACACACAAGTGCAAGTGCAAGTGCGTGAACCAAAACACACACCATGTATTTCACACACACAGAGATAAGAGCCGCTCTGTCTCTGGAGCTGTTGCTGCCTTACTGCTCTGCGACGCTCAGTCATATCTCCTGCTGGGACTGAAGTGGCCATTTAGGCGCTCACACTGCGGCTGAGAGCCCGGCAGCAGGCAGGAGGGCCCAGGATGTAACAGGAACGCATTAAGCAGTGGGGAAACACCTGTCTCTCATCAAATAACCAGGAGGCATGCCCGCCCACCTACCTGCTCGCCTGTCTGTCTGCCTGCCAGAACACACTCACTGCCTTGTTTTTTTTAACTCTTATTCATGAATGCTCATATCTGCCCATGTCTTATTGCAGCTGGGCACCCAGATGGCTTTTTAATCATTTCCACAAACGTGTTAATATTCTGTCTTCTGTCTGCCGAACATTAGATGTCTTATTTTTAACTTAACATCAGTTTCGTTTAATGCAAATTATATTAATTGAATTGAAATGTAATGATTTTGGACACATACTGCTTTTCATGTAGTTTCTTTTTTTGTGGATACTCACTTCTTTCACATTGAGGGCCATGGTAGCCTGGTGGACACACACATTTGCCTGTCACATGATCACATGTCCGCCCTGCTTTACAGTCACATGTACGGGCACATTTCATGCCAAATAACCCAGATGGACAACCTAAGAGAAAGACATACTTTAAGGATACTTTCAGCATATGGTTAAAAACGGGTCATGTTGTATTCTTTCATGTCACAGACACATATTTTACTAGTTGCACTTTTACAGAAATGTCAGTGAGGCCACTGGTAACCCTATCGCCAAGTTTCTTTTTGTATTATGAGTGAGTGTGTGCTTACTGTGTTGACAGGAGTGGCCGTAGTATCCAGCAGAACAGCCGCAGGTGCCGGTGAAACGGTCGCAGGTCCCGTTGTTGAGGCATGGACAGTCTTGTGCACAATCAAACCCATACTTTCCCTGTGAACAGGCTGCACACACACACACACACACACACACACACACACACACACACACACACACACACACACACACACACACACACACACACACACACACACACACACACACACACACACACACACACCACACACACACACACACACACACACACACACACACACACACACACACACACACACACAACACACACACACACACACACACACACACACACACACACACACACACACACACACACACACACACACACACACACATTTACACTTAGCTGTTTTTACGAAGAAACTGTGTGTAAATGCAACATGATGATTCAGAAGAAATCCTTCAATGGGATTATATTGCAAATAGATCCATATGGTAGCTTTTGATAAAACTGAAGTACTCTGATTGTCTGATTGTCTTCCGACTTGTGCAGGAATGTGTAAAAAATGTTTTGCACGTCTAAGATCAATGTTTATTTGAATGAGTTTCTGGTTAGATTCCTTAAGAAGCTTAAGGTTTTGTTCTATGACGTAAAATATGTCAGTTAATACCCCTAAATGAGACTGCATAACATCACTACGCTGAGCATTAACCGCATTTAGCTTAGCAGTGGCAACCTGAAGTCATATGTAGTTGATTTATAGTGTGACGTAAACTATTTTATTTTGTGTGGATGCATTCACACTTCAAAGTCATTCAAGTTGTGCTCATTTGCTAAGATTATCTTGCTGAGGGAAAATTGCAGGTATATTAAATGTTTGTCTGCCACAGAGCGTCTGTCAGTAAAAACTGAGAACAAAGGGGGTTTAAGTGAGTTAAAGATCATCTGATAGTAGGAGGTAAAGGTTTACAAGGGTTTTCTCTGCCAGTTTTGTTGTTTGTTCTAGTTTTTAAGTTTCTGATTTCCCATGTACAGATTACAGTTCAGTTTGGTTCTGGTTGTTCAGTGTGTGTGAAGTTGTACCCGAGTCACAGCGCGCTCCGGTCCAGCCCAGTCCACATCTGCAAGACCCGTGGATGGGATCACACAGACCCCCGTTCTGACAGCTGCACGTGTTTCTGCACTGCAGGCCATAGCGCCCCCTAGGACATGCTGGAGAAACGTCCAGAACACATCAGGAAAAGACCAGAACCACAGGCCTACTTACACACACACTCACACACACACATATACAAGATTGCACTAACCACAGTCATGTTTATTTAAGCAACAGTTCATTAAAGAGATGGCAAAGTGGTCTAATTTGGCACTGATATAAAAGAATAATCATGTTTCTCTGGGTCATTTCGATTGGGAAAACAATAAGCAAGCCGTCTTTGATTTTCCTGTTTATTTATTTGCTTCCTTGCCAGATCCAGCGATACGGAACACAGAGAACGAGCTACTTATAGGTTTCTGTAAACATTCAACAAGAGGAACATAAGACGAGGTATGTCCAAGTACATGCAGGATGCTGAAGAAGAGAACATTTAGGAAAGGCAGTGATGGAAATCCCCGCTTGCAATCCAGCTGAATGGCTGATAGTGGGAGAGATTAAGAAACTCCGAGTCTGTTTCCCGGGAAAGCAGCCCTGTTATCATCCTTGGCCTCACACGGAGGAAGTGGAGAATTTGTTACTTAAATATACACTGTAAAATGTTTAAAAATGCTCCCTTGTTTTAGCGGTTGTTTCTCACTTTCTAGTTAGGGCCTACTATTTCTGAAGAGCTCATTAGGGCCAGCCGATCCCACTGATGCATGGCGGGCTCTCTGAGGAGAAGGGCAAACGATAAAAGGCCAAAGTTTGATATTTTTTACAAGTTTTACTCAAAGTTTTACAATGGATTCTCTTGTAATTTGCTGAAAAGTGATTCGTTCTTGCCTCAAAACTATTTCAGTAATAAACTCCATAATAAAAAGGTTTCAACCAGCTGCATTTACTGTTGATAAGATATTTGTTTGCATGGCCTCATAAACAATTAGGACTGGGTTGTCATGACGTTACCTTGTTGGCAGGACTGTCCCATCCTACCAGGGGCACAGATACACTTTCCAGTAGCTGGGTGGCACTGCCCTCCTTCCCCACAGGAGCACATCTTAGCACAGTCCTTCCCATAATACCTGCTTGGACAGCCTGTGGAAATAAAAAAGTATTCATTCACACAACATTTCTAAAGATAAATGTCATTGGAATTTGTTGGTTTCCTCTGTCTTTGCTGTCCCTTGTTTGACCAGAGTGGTTACATACAACAAGAAGGCTGAGATGACTAACACTCCTTAAGTATTGACTCCACATCCAACTGTAAAGACAGTGATGGGAAGGAGAAATTATCATTCATTTAGCTCCTGATTGATGGATACAATATAATGACGTTACATGTATCCTGGATCACTTAAGTCATATACATTGCTTGATAACTATTGCTATAATCAGCCCCACCTAATGTCAGCAGAAAGTATTAAAAATAATGATTACAAAAAAATGCAAAAAATAAATTAAAAGAAGATATAAAATATATTTTAAGATCATGTTTAATCATCTGATTCGTCTGTACATTGCTGTTTTAGTCTGTGTTCTTCTAATTAGTGTCTACAGTGTGTGCCTATTGAGCTGTTTAGAGCCATGTGGGACAAAACCCGATCATGCCCCTCCCTCTCACTGTCTAAGTGAACGGTGACTGTAAAAACTACACTGCGCATGCTCAGAGTATTTTCCTATGTAATGTGTGTGGCAAAAAAATAATGACCATAGGGGCATAGAGCTGCCATCCCCACCATACGTCATCTCACATAATTCAGAGCTGATTGGCTGTAAGTACGTGTGCCGCGAAAAGTGTGGTGTGTGAAGAGGAGACGAGAGAGCTGCAGTGACGCATCCTAAAACCCGGAAGTAAGCTGTGCATGGCTTCCCTCCACAAAAAAGCAATGAGATTTCTCCATAGGATTTTAGAAAATAGTTCCAAATAAGATCTGTGGGAAACAAACCTGTTAGATAAATGCACGTTTTGTTCAGCCGGATAATATCCACATGTCTACCCTACTTTTATAATGTTCTAATCATAAATCTATTGATTAGATTAGATTTATGATAGACTTTTGAAACTACAAGAACATAAGGAGGACTTTTACAAAAAAGTAATAGAGATTTTTGTCCAGAAGGATATGCAAATGGACTTCATCTAGACTGCAATTTTATTGAAAATGGGATCTTACTAAGAGAGAACAATTCAATATTTAAATGATAAAATTACATTTTTTGGGTATCCTTCTGTTGAACTGTCTGTTTAAAATTAATTGAAGCATCAGACAAAAAAAGCTTTTGAAAATAATATTATATTTTGATTTAGGTCAAAATATAATATTTGTAAACCTGAAGAGTCAGTGCCAGTGCCTCGCCAGCCATGAACCTCTCTGCAGAAGCTTATAGACATCTAAGTTTTTTGTGCCCCACCACTTTTCTACATATAAAAACGCCACTGGCTATAATGGTAATGCTAACGCCTAAACATGAACCCTAACCCTGTCGTCAATGAGCGTGACTGAATATCCTAAAGGAATAGCGCCATGCTGCAATTGCAACTTAAATTGTTAGCCATTCTGTAACTTATAATGTCCCCTCTGGCAAAATACCTCCACTCAATAAATCCATGCTCTACTTCATAACTGTAGTGTTGTTGGCAATGCAAGTAAAATATATGCCTATGCGAGTTTTAACCATAGACTGTAGATTTTAACACATCAGCTTAGTGTTTTTCACAACTAGTTCTCTAGAAAGCTGGAACACCACAGGCCAAGCACCCAACCAGTCCCAAACAGGCATGTTGTTTAAAACGAGCAGTGTACTGATAATAAAGGGGTGCCGAAAGACTGTGGTTTCTTTCTGGAGTAAAAACAGGTGCAAGATGTCTTCACTCACGTAAGCTGCAGTCGGCTCCAATGAAGCCAGCCGGGCAGTAGCAGGTCCCAGTCCTGAAGTCACAGCGACCGCCACTGGTGCAGCTGCATCTGGACTTGCAGTTAGGCCCAAAAGTACCTGCTCGACATCCTGGAGACAAAACAGGGAGGACATTTTAATTAGATGTTGTATCAGAATCAGCCAATCAAAAGGTTTATTAATAATACTAGTATGTTTAATAGCGCTTTCCCAGGTGCTCAAAGACGCTTTATATTACATGTTACTAAACACTTTTATCCAAAGTGACTTGAGGTTTACACATACAAGGAGTTCGCTGGGGTATATCAGTTTATATTTAAAAAAACTCTTAGAGGAATTCAGTCGAAAATACAAACAAGAAATTAAGTATAATAAGGACAATAATGACAAAATATTCTTATAAACATGTGCAGTATATCAGTAAATCAGAATTTAAAGTGGAAGTTATGTTATTTCTGTGCAAAATATAGCAGGATCATGTTGGCGCAGTGGACTAGTGCGTTGGTGTTCAGATCAGGGGGTCACAGGTTCCAACCCCACTGCAGTCAACATGTCGTTGTGTCCCTGAGTGAGACACTTCACCCCAAGTTGCTCCTGTGGGGATTGCCCACAGTATTGAGTATGTAAGTCGCTTTGGATAAAAGCGTCTAACAAGTGACATGTAGTAATGTAATGTATTTTCAATCTTTGACTTCAATGGAAATCTACAAATTGGGCCAAATATTTACCCTTCTCCCACATTTCTCCAACCTAATTCTCGATTTAAACTAAAGGAATATTAGCGCATGCCTCATACTCGTCCACTCTGACAGCAGGAAATCATCAGTGTTCTTACGTAGCTCGCAGCGGGCCCCGTAGTATCCGGGTAAGCAGCTGCATTTCCCCGTCACAGGATGGCACTGCTCCTGGTCTCCTGAACACCGGCACAGCTGGCTGCAGTTCATCCCGAACACGCCAGCAGGACAGGCTGAGAGCATGCATGCAGAAATATGTTATATACTATATATACAACCGTTGGAGTTTTTTTTCAAATTCATTTAGACAGTAGTGGGCAAATAAAACTATGATCAAAGTGTAAATGGTAGGTCTTTGAATTGTTCTGGGAACAAAAACACCATATGATCAATACAATGTGACAATACGATAAGAAATGTAAGTAAGGAAGGAACGATATGATACGTACGATACAAAACGATAAGATATATATGATATGGTACAATGCAATACCATAGGATAGCATACAATACCATACCATGTGATATATGTTAAGAAACAATTACACATATACATTACGTTGCATTACTCCTTGTTTTGCACTTCTGGTTGGATGCTAAATGTCTAGTGCAATGACAATGAAGTTGAATCTATTCTTATCTCATCGATTTAGGATTAAAGTCCTTGACTCGTTGACTGGAGTGTTTTAGTCTTAACTTATATAATCATCGGACTCTGTATCTCCAATTTAATGGTAACCATTCCTATTCCCTGTTCAGGACCTAAATAAAGACAAAAACAAATTGTCTCTAGATAACTCTGTGAAGTAGTGACTGGTAACTAAACCCAAAAACTTTCCCCAGTGTCCGAACCCCGCCGGACGCAGAGGGACATTCTTTCACACACCCTTTCTGCATACATACGTAAACGCTTATAACGAATGGAGTCCTCGGACAATCAGTCATAGCCAACAAGATGAATCTGTGAACCGAGCATGTTTTGGGGTGAGACCGCAGCACTCAGTCAGGCAGCAGCAGGCAGCGCGGGGGACAGATAAGAAAGGACTCCAGACTAAAGAGGCAATTACGGGGCTGTCATTATGCATGTCTGCCTTCCAAAGGCCCTTATCCGCTGCCGAGGAGACAAAAACAATGCCTTCTGTTTTACTTGGCAACTGGTGTGTAACATTTATCAGATGTCTGGGGAGTGTGTGAGGAGAGGAAAGGAGCTGAGGTGGTGAAGGAGGGGCGGTAGAAGGAGTGTTGGGAAGTGAAGCTGCTTGTATATACGGTCTAAATAATGAACATTAGCATAAAGCCCTGTGACAGTGAGGGTTTAGTGCCGGTGTGTAGAGTGCATTTCCTGGAATGGAATAAATGGTAATCTTTCCCAGGAGGACCAGGGGAGTAAAAAAAGAAAAGAAATTTTAATCAGTATTAACAGAATGATTCTTGTTGATCACTTCAGTCCCATGATGCCTTTCCTCCTGATGGGAGTGGTGTGTTGCAGTGACAGTGCTTCTGTCAACAAGGCACATATGTCAACTTTTAGATGCATGACAGTGATATTAGCCATGTGCCAAGGCTTTCTCAGTAACCAGATATACACGAGGGACATCAGTGAGATACCACATGCAGGAGCCAGAACACTTCTGCTTATTATTTCTGTTATTATCTGTATTTGTTTAGATTGCACACGTTTGTATTTGGTTATCACATCCAACAACTGTCACCTGCATGTGGTTTAAATGATAGAGTTTTTCTGTTGACTGTATTCACGCTTTTTAAATAATATGTTTAATTTTCTTTTATAAATAATGAAAAATCAACCTTAGCATGAAGTTTTTCTTAGAAAGTGTCAAAATGAAGAGCCAAACTAAGCCTCTATAATTGTCATGTCTAAGAAACTTATTGTGAAAGTGTATTCTTTATGTTAGTCTTGTCATGACCTTTTGTTCTGTGCCTTATGTTAACTCGTTAAGTAATTCTCCCTCTCATTGCAGGCCTCCATGCTCCCCGCCTCTATCTGTCTCCTGCGTCTGTGATTGTTTTCCCGCCCTGATTGTTTCCACCTGTTCCCCTTACCCGGTGTATATATTGTGCTCGCTCCCTCCTGTCCATTGCCAGTTCGTTGCCTCATTCTGGACCAACGTCCCAGCCAACTCCACGGACATTCTCACGGACCTTTAAAGCTCTTGATCTTAGTTCTTGTTTTTTCCTCGAAAGAGTGTTTTTGTGTTTTCCCTGTTTTACTACTGTGCCAATTCCAGTAAAGTCTTTATTTTTGAACACTATCTGAGTCTGAGTTTGAGTCGTGCGTTTGAGTTCATGCCTCAGAGTTCTCCCCTTGACAGTACGAACTGGCCAAACAATCAGGGCGGGGAAAACAATCACAGACGCAGGAGACAGATAGGGGCGGGGAGCATGGAGGCCTGCAATGAGAGGGAGAGTTACTTAACGAGCAAAACATAAGGCACAGAACAAAAGGTCATGACAAGACTAACATAAAGAATAAACTTTCACAATAAGTTTTGTAGACATGACAATTATAAGACGGCTGAGTTGAATACTCGATTCTGATTTGTCAATTTGGACCTTCCAGATGTTGCGGACAATGTGCAGTCATACTGTATCACTCCGCAGAAAGAAGTCCGGTCAATTTAACAGCAGCTGTGGCCATCAAAAAACACATTGGAATACTTATATACTATACTATATTATTTGTTATATTTGTGGAGAGTATTGGATTCATGACGGCTAAACTGTCCCAAGTAAAGAAAAGAAAAAGATAACAAGAGAAGGAAAGAGGTTAAAAGACAGAGCGCTGGACGTCAGAGAATCAACAGAAGACAAACAGGAAGTAAACACTAACAGGAAAAGCAGAAGAAGACAGACAGATACAGAAAACCTTGCCCTCATTTTAAGTTACGCTGTTGGTTCGCAGTGGAACCGACTATTAGATAACGTAGGTCAGTGCTTCTCAAACTTTTTTCAGTAATGTACCCCCTTTGAAATTTTTTCTCAGCCAAGTACCCCCTGACCGATCCCGAAAATGTTTGATCGAAAAAGCCTATATGAATAATTACAATATAGTGATGTTCCCTCAGTGTGTGATGTATTAACTCCTTCGTGGTATGCATTACAACAAACTAAGGATATTTTCATTTTATGCATGAAAAAAAATAACATAACACAGTTTTTCAATTTAAGTAATATGTTATTGTGAAAAACTATAAAATACAATACACACATTTGACATGTTTATATGAGGACCCCCTTTCTAGGAATGTTTTATATAAAATTGTGTTTTCTATTTAACTTATTTTACTAAGATTATTTTTTTAATTAACCTTTTTTTTTTAATCTCACGTACCCCCTGCAGTACCCCAACGTACCCCCAGGGGTCCGCGTACCCCCATTTGAGAATCACTGACTTAGAGGAAGCAAAACCGTTTTTTCTTAAAGCAATACAATAATTTCTGTATCCATATTGTGAGTCAAGTCGTTGGTTTATTTAGTGTGAAACCATGTAAAAATCGGGATGAAAGTTGCAGCTAAGCGGTCATTAATTGAAAAAAGAACACCGACAGATTGAGCAGGATCTGGACACTAAGCAGACTTTGTTCTTTTGTCATTAATGACCGCCTAGCTGCACATTATCCCTCTACTTATCGGAAGTGTAGTTGCTACACCACATTTCCAAAGATGTAAACAATAACCCCTTTTACAATTCCCCCCCCCTTTCCATTCTTACGTGTCTCGCAGCCGGGCCCCATGAGTCCGGCGGGACACCCACAGCTCCCCGTCTCATGGTGGCAGGACACCCCGGCCTGGCAGTCACACGGCTGGGCACAGGAAGCACCGTGGGACCCCGGGAGGCAGTCTGAGAGCGGGGAGGTCACTCAGTTTACTCTCATGATCAAAGCAGGCCACTTTAATATCCGTTGCCACTTCCTCGGTGCTTTACACACTCACGTTTGTCACACCTGGCCCCCCTCCAGCCTGGCTCACACTCACAGAGACCCGTCATATGGTGGCAACTCGGACTATGGACGCAGTCACACCTCTGCACACAGCGCTCTCCAAAGAATCCCTCAGTACAGGCTTCAGACAGAACACACACAATCAGAAACAACATCAGAGAGCTACACTTAGCTACACATAGTTTACTTAGTTATGCTCTTCTACCCAATGATTCCTAGGCTATCTATATATATATATAATATCTAGCAAAGACGGAAATCGCTGGGTCGCAGGTTGACTGTATAAAAGATTATATCTAATACTGTGTGTTTAAAAAATGCTTTTGAAATGGGGATTACTAGCATGTTTACAATGTAACAAAACATTTTTAAATAAACATAAATATATTAAAGACGTTATATAGGCTACTTTCATTCTTCTTACATTTTACTTAACTGCTTTTTTAAACAAAAATACTTATAATTCAAGTTTTAAACTGAAAATAATTTGTAGGTCCAGCCTATAATTTAATAGGATGTATATTTGATACTTAATATATTAGTGTATTCTTTTCTATGGTCACATTGTTCTGTTGTCTTGCATAATACACTGTTGTACACTGACATGTCTTGTATTTATTTGCATTGCACTTTATATTGAGGCAATCCAAAAGTAGTGGAAAGTAATCAGGTTACATTACTCTCAACCTCTGATTAGGTTAGATCAGGAAGTCACCTGACTGACAGAGGTCTCCCGTCCATCCAGGCAGACACACACATCTTCCTGTCTCTCCGTCACACCTCCCCCCACTCGTACAGCTGCAGGTCTGACTGCAGTTCTCTCCAAACCGTCCCTCCTCACACTCTAGGAGAGAGGAAGAGGAAACCTCAGATGGAAGTTGCATTCAAGTATTTATTTATTTTAGTGAAAACAAGTAGTTTTTTTTACCCTTTAGTATTGTTTTCAATCATTAATATTACACACCAACAGTTGCACATGCCCACAATACAACATACAATTATAGCTATTTACACAAATACAAATAATAATGGAAATTCAGTTAGGAGCTGCATTCCTACAAGTCTGTTTGTCATGACGGCTCCTTTTACTAAGTCAATCTGTATTCTTCGTCATGATTTGATTCCTGATTAATAATACTATTTTATTTCAAACTATGACAGTGTGTTATTGCTCCAGAGGGCCTGTAGGCGGTATCAAGGTCAGAATCATCAGAGCAGATGAGGATCACCTTCCTCACCCGTATTTAAAGGGGACCTATCATGCAAAATGCACCTTTGTACGTCTTTTATACATGAATATGTGATCTGATACAGACTGATCCAGATATGAAAATAGTCTGATGTCAGTGACGAGGAGCTCCGCCTATATGGCCAACTCCCCACCAATCAGGGGAATGAGGCTTGTAACTCGGCCCCCTCCTTTGCAGGGGGGCGTGGTCAGCTGCAGCGCATGCAATGACAGGGTGGAGGAGAGCAAAATAGAGCGAAATGAGGCATGGCTAAAATGTCAGGATCTGTTTGGTATTTTGAAAAAGAAAACGTATAAATATACCTTATATAGGTATGGCCCTACAATATATTATTCAAATATAGCATGATAGGTCTCCTTTAAGAGAGCTTCAGACCATGCTCTCCCTTTCTTTGTCACCATGCCTCATGCTCGGGACAGTCCACATTGCTATCATCTGGTTTGGTTCATTTCATTAATAACTGGCAACTTGTGTGTGACCTTCCTCCTTTTGTTACAAGAGGCTCATTTGATCCCAAGATATGCATTTCTGTCTCTAATTTGGACACTTTTGTTCCTCAGTGTAATGTAATACATGTAAGGCTTCTGTAGGACTCACCTGACTCACAGGTAGCTCCTCTCCAGCCGGGGGGGCAGGAGCACTGACCACTGACGCTATCACAGGAGCCTCCGTTTCCACACAGACACTGACCAGAGCATTGCTCACCGTAATACCCTGCAGGACAGGCTACACACACACACACACACACACACACACACACACACACACACACACACACACACACACACACACACACACACACACACACACACACACACACACACACACACACACACACACACACACACACACACACACACACACACACACACACACACACACACACACACACACACACACACACACACACACACACACACACACACACACACACACACACACACACACACACAAGTTTGATTGTTAGTTTAATAGTCATTTGTATTCGTTAATAATCAGAATCTGTAAAGTAACTAAAGCTGTCATAGAGGAGTAAAAACTACAAAAATGTCTTCTAAAATGTAATGAAGTAATTTAACATACTCAGGTGAAGTACATCAAAAGTGTACTTATGTATAATACACAAGTAAATGTACTTTATTACTTTACAACGCTGAGTGTTACCTTGTTGGCAGCCAAAACACATCCTTTCTACAACACTTCAGCGTGCTTTGTAACATGGAAAGTTGTGATTTAAAGTCATTTGCGGCTAACATATCAAACCCGCTGGTGTTGCATTAAGAAGACAGCTGTCCATGTTTCTGAGATGCTGTGTCAGGCTGAGTGATACACAGCTGGGTGATGATCAGCTGAGGATGAAACTCACGCAGTTGGCAGCGGACTCCGGTCAAGCCAGCTGCACAGCTGCACCCCCCGCTGACGTGGTCACACCTGGACCCCGGCTCACACTCACAGGTCTGACTGCACCGCTCCCCAAAAGTACCCTCTGGACACGCTACACACACACAGAAACACAGAGACACACACACTCATTATTAACTTTAAATGCAGCAAATAAGGCAATCAGAGGAGCAGCAGTGGCATTTACTCAAGTACTGTATTTAGGTAGAAAATGAAGGTACTTGTACTCAGTATTTCCACATTATGATACTCTGAATTTTCACCCCACTATATTTGTAGACAAATAATCTACTTTGAACTCCACTACATTCATTGTACAGCCTCACTTACGAGCCAGTTAGCAGATTAATATCTGAATACCACAGTCAAAAATTACTGTGTTCAAATTAGGTAAAAGAACAGAAGTATTATCAGCTAAAATGTACCTAAAGAATCAAAACTAATGCAGAATATTTTCTTTAAAATTGTTGTATTATCAAGTTTTTTATCTGGAGTTTAGTTTGGACACTTTATGTACTGTAAATATAAGCATTTATATGAAATGTAACAACTACTAAACGTTTTTATTTTTGAGTAAAACGCCTATACTTCTCCCTGAAATGTAAAGGAGTAGAAGTTTAAGTGGCAGAAAATGTTAATATTCAAGTAAAGTACAACTTTTTTTTAAATGATACTTTACTTGCCTAAATGTACTTAGTAACTTCTCACCACTGCATATGAAATCAGAGGGCTAAAGGACATTTTTGAGGCCTTTTTTACACACACACACACACACACACACACACGCTGTTAAGTTAATGATCAAAGTCCAAGATGACATTTGGAGTCTCAGAGAGGAAAAGTGCCCTAATGACAGAGATGCATCATTAAGTCATGCGAGAGGCTTTCTGCTGACTCTGGCTCTCGTAGTGAGGACCACAAATGACTGTGGCAAGAGGAAAGTCTTGCGTAAAAGTGGCGAATGACAGAGTAAGAGCTTTAGTGGGCATTTCACTGGATCTATTAAAACAACGGCATGAAACTGTAGCATGAGAACAGTGATAGGGTAGCTGCTAAAGAGGTATGCTATCCCTTTCCCTAATGATGATCGCTGCACACAAACACGTGGGTGCATTTATCCAGAATAGACCTCAATTAAACCCTGTGAGCCTGAGGGCACCCTTACCCATCTCTAAAAAAAAGTCATTGGCAGTGTCTGATTATAGAGATAATTGTTCACAAACACATCCTAGTTGTGTTTAAGGAGAGGATGTCGTGATGGGCTGCAGTGAGGGCCTCCCTCACACCCCGTTTTAATGATGTGGCTTCCATTACCCAGAATGCAGTGTGGTCCTGCCCAGCCGGCGGTGCACAGGCAGCCTCCTGTGATGTGGTGGCAGCGGGCACCGTTCCTGCACTCACACATCTGGCCACAGTCAAGACCGTAAAAGCCGTCCGGGCACACTGTGGGCCGAGATAAAACATCCCATGGTTAGAACTGGCAGCTGCACAGAAGAGGAGAGGAAAAGACTCGGATGCCAACTTTCTTTATACTTTTTCTCTTTATGTCTTTCTCTCCTCTCCTCCTTCTAGTCTCCCGCTCTGTCTTACCACCTACTGAAAATACCAATATCAAATTGCAGTACCATGCTGCGGCGGTTCATTTGCAGAGCGTCTGCGTTCGTTAAGTGAGCTCATGGCCCACATGTGCGGTGAATCTGGGCCACATCAAAGTCCACGAAGGCGTGTAGGTTATTCCCTTTTAGGTGAAGGGGGGGGGGGGCACAGAGCTGGTAATTAGAGCACCTGCTGAGTCAACAGGCCCCCACCAATACAAAACAAAGCCAGGTTACTGTGCCTCCCCCCTCCCCCCACACATACCTACAGTATCGCTGGAGATGCCAGTGTCTGTTTCCCATTCCCCAGCACACACAGAGAGAGTGTTTAAGTGTGTGTAGAGTCAATTGACACTCAGGAGAGTTTAGTAAACATGGAGCCTCCCATCCTCTGCCAGAAGCAAGAGGATGAACGAGCCTTTCCACTACTGGGGTGTAAATATTGTCTGTAAGCGTGAGCAGGAAAAAATTACTGTTTATCCAAGACCTATTTTTAGATCCCACAATTTGTCACTAAAGAGATTGACTCAAGAAAAATATCTCTTTCTGTTTTTCATTAATAGGAACGGAGGTTTGATTGACAGCTGTTGCAGACATGTCTCTCTTTTCTGTTGCAGTGATATGTGAGAAAATCGGGTGAAGGTTTGAATAGTTTCCCACTTATCTCCACGGCCAGCTGTTTTTCATTTCATTCATATACTACCTCTTCTATCTAAAAAGAAAAAGCAGTGGACCATGTTACCAAAGGAAGCCACAAATTGGCAGGCCAACACAAATGTGTAACTCAGTGGTTTTAAATGCCACCGTATTCAGGGTGTTTCCCTACAGTTAATGCATCTCCTTCTCCTGCTCCAATTGATGATGCCCTCCACTCCTCCGTTTTCTCCCTGAAGGCCTCAAATTGGGAAAAGTGTCCTTCCTGCTCAGCATTTTCTGGCATCTTCCCACGCTGACAGCATGATGTCTGCGCAGGCCTCTGTAGTGGTTAGGCTGTTATTAAAGCCAGCCCACTGAGGATGCTGTCATTTGAACCCAGCTGTCCATTAGCTCTGTGGTACAACTGTAGCGAAAACACTGGTTTATTGTCTGCTGTTGATTATTATGACAGCAATTGCTGACACCATGGCAACATCTTACTTGCTGCGGGAAAAGTTTCAGAAATGAAATATGATTTATTCAGCGATGAGACAGGTACGGTGGCCGACAGGGGCCAACACGTGACGACACTTCCATTAGGAAACACGCTGCAGTTTCGATAACGATGTAAATATAAATACACTGTGTGCCCAAACACATGCAAAGGAAGAATCTTCTTCACCATCTTGACAAAATATGCGGAAACGGGGACACTAAAAAGTGATGCACACAGCTGGGAGTGCTTGTTGATGTTTATTGGCTTATTTTATCAGTGTTATCGCATGATTCTTTCTGATATTATTGCAGATCTGCTGTAAGCTAGCTAGCTAACTTAGCTAATAGACTAACAGTGCCAACAATCTCCGAACGCCAACAAGCGCTCCGGTCCCAGCTGTGTGCATCACTTTTCAGTGTCCCCATTTCCGTTTTGTTTTGAGCTTCTTGCGTTTTTTTATTTCCAACGTTTTGTATTTGCAGCGTTTCATTTATGCAGCGCTTCGTAAATGCTGTGAATGTGTTGTTAAGTTGGTCAAGTTAAATGCAGCATGATTCTCCAAATAGAAGTGTTTTGGGACGTTATAGCGCGTTAGCACGGGTCGGCCACCGTACACCGAGGAATCTATGATGTTAAAAAAGAAACTTCTCCAATGACTGATGTTCCCCTTTAATAAGGTCTTTATCCCGGGAACAGTAATCTCTTCAACATGTTAAAAACGTTCATAGTTTACTACAGCTCACACACTCTGCATTAACTCTTCAGGGGAGATTCTGACACCTCTGAATTGCAACGTTTATTATTTGTTTATGCCAGCAGGGGGCGACTGGTTTCCATATTAACCACAGAGCAGCAATCTGTCATCAGATATTAGGACAGTGTCTGCAAGTGTTTGTAAGTGAAGACTCTTCCCTAAGTCTTTGTTTATGGGTAAGGCACGGAGGATTCAGTCCGCCACACACACAGACACACACACTGTGCCATCGCTGAAAGACTCCATCTCCACACTAAATGAGCTCTTTAAGACAGGAGGATTATTTCCAGATCCCTGGTTGTGTAAGAGCCACTGCTGTCAGCCCATAAAGCAGGTCCAGGGACCACACAGCCAGGAGAGCAGGCCATAGAAATAGAGCGGATAGAGAGGACAGAGAACAGAAACTTCCTGGTGCCATTCACTGAAAGAGGTCAACAAAACAACAACAACAAAACAACTGCTGTTTCTCCGACAATACCGCGGATGTTAAAAGCCAGACTTCTTTTTACCCAAACTGTTTTGATGCAGAGATCAAAGCTGCGGACCAGAAAACGAAGCACGATACGCGTTAATGGAAGAAGTGGTCTGGTGTGAAGGACCCATGTCAGCACAATAGCTCGTTTCCTCTGACAAAACTCGATTCAGACGGTTAGCATTAACCACAATAAAGCTTTTTAAATAAAACTGCATTTGCTCTAGTTTTGCCGTTATTTCCATGAATAACATTATAAAAACCAGCCCACCTAGAATCAGACGCTAAAAGGGAAAGTCATGTATTTCTTTTAGAACCTGTGAAACAGAGATCTGGTCCTTCTCACAGCACAGGCGTCTTCCTGACTTTCTCCTGAAGGAAGAGGCCCAGCAGAAGACTGAGAAACAGGACACCTCTGTTTGAGGAGAGAAGGCCTTCAGAAAAACAGAATCTGGTCAGAACGATAGCCTTATTTCCACAGCGACGTCCAATCAGAGTGACGTCTGCGTCTGAAGCCATTAGACTGTTATGACTAGCGATGAGAAGCTCTGGTCTAGTGTGACACGGTCATGATTTACGATGCTAGGAGCTGGTATGGGTTTCTGGGCCTTACAGTAAATCGTACACTTACTTATAACATGTGGCCACTTCAAGTCAAAGGACTATAATCAAGAACAAATATATTACCTTCTCAAAACTCTTGGACTGTTTGAGTGTCTTTCCGTTCAATATGTATCACAGTGATGAGAGCAATATTAGCTAAATGAGGGGTTTGCGATGGCAGGATGCTTGGAAGAGACTACGCCTGTGAAATACGCTCCATCGAACCCAGAATGACGAATGCTAATTATATCTTGGGATCTGTGTGGTTTTAAAATGGTTTTGCACATGACATTAAATGGAGAATCTGATGATTCATAACCTCAGTGACTCAAGCCTTGGAAGAAATACAAAACAATCTGAAGACTGTCCTGCAGCGCCCTCTTGTGTATAAGGAGGAGAATGTCACATGTTAAGGAGAGGAGGGTCCTTAGTAAAAATAACAACACAATACTATCTATTCATAAGATGTTATACTTAAGGGAAGGGCACAACTTACACATTTAAGTCAATGGAGACAGGAGTGTCATAACCTGTTGTCATGCTCTGGTCAAATTCAATTTTAACTATTTTCAATAACATAGTGGGCGAAAAAATATCCAAAATATAAATAAGGCTTGCCATTTTCACTAGTCCACCGTTTAGATATTTTTCTGAAAATGATTAGCATTGAATAATGATTTGTTTTTAGGTATATGAACATGAATATCAATATTTCCTCTATAGAAAATGTTAATCCTAAAATTATACAAATGTTGACAATTTCTGATCTGATCAATTTCAACAAAATTAAACAATCGTTTTTCATGTTTGTTTATATGCAAATGAGCACACATTTACATAGCGTCTCATTTTCACAACATGTAATACAGAAATTGCTTTATGTCAGTGATGTGTGGAATATTCATATGATACGTTTAAAAATGTTAGAGAACATATACACATTGGTACAATCAGGCATGATACAGGTACTTATCAGAAACAAAAAGAACACCTTACTTTTCTCACAGAAGGTGCCGGCATACCCAGGTGAGCAGGTGCAGGCTCCGCTCACGTGGTCGCAGAGCGCTCCGCTCTCACAGCGGCACGGCAGCACACACCCCCGCCCAAAACTGCCATTCACACACTCTGACAGGAGAACATCAGGGAAAACATCAGATAAGGAGAGATTTGGCAAAATCCTAAACTTTAAACCAAAGGTAGCCAGCGTCATATTCAGTCTTTGTCTCAGCTTTGTGTCTTTAATTATTTTTCAATAACCCTGAACAATTTTCACATATTGTATTCACATTACTTCACTGCATTGTTTATGGTATATACATAATGTTTATAGTTTCCTATGTATATATTTGGTTTCATAAGAAAATTGGATTTAAATGCATTCTAACTAACTAATTTTGGATATTTTATTCTGTGTATTCTATACATGTATGTACTCTATTGATACATATATCTTCCACTGTTGCCATGTGTAAAAGTTCTGCTTGTTTCTTTGATTTATTTGTTACCCGTGTTTAATGCCAGCTAATATGGTGTTATAAGAATATCTAATCTAGTTAGAAACGAATACATACATGAATACATACTATAACTGAATGTCCTGTGTTGTAATGTGATGCTTAATATAGTTCCTAAAGTTACATGCAGAAGGTTTTTCTAAACTATTTAAATCTCTTTGTATTCAGTACACTCCAAGTCCTTAGAAAAAGTGCAAAAATGACTGAAATAAACGACATACCTATACAAATATTGTCAGGATTGTATATAAGTTTAAAATAAGTTATAATAAGCAGTCACCCCATGGTGGTAGTGTTTACTAAAAGGTGAAACTCTGAGGTATTTAAGAGGTCCACTCACTCTTCTCACAGTGGTCTCCGGTGAAGCCCGCCTCACACACACACTGTCCGCTGACCGGGTCGCAGCTCTCGGAGATCTCTCTGCACTCGCATGTGTTCACGCACCCTGGGCCCCAGTAACCAGATTCACACGCTGAGAAGATCAGCACATCATGCAGTCAGAGATATATTCGTTATTTATTTATTTTTCAACTTTATTTTCCTTTTTCTTAACCCTCCTATTGTCTTTGTTCCCCTCCCCCCTTACTTTGGTGTTTGTGACTACTGGTATACATGAAAAACTGCAGTAAATACACAAAGAATAGACACTGAACATGTATTGCGTGTGCCAGGTGTGATCAATGTGGGGGGATGGGCACATAAGAGCGGGAAATGTGTCAAATTGTTCAGTGTGTGTGTGTGTGTGTGTGTGTGTGTGTGTGTGTGTGTGTGTGTGTGTGTGTGTGTGTGTGTGTGTGTGTGTGTGTGTGTGTGTGTGTGTGTGTGTGTGTGTGTGGTGTGTGTGTGTGTGTGTGTGTGTGTGTGGTGTGTGTGTGTGTGTGTGTGTGTGTGTGTGTGTGTGTGTGTGGCCTAGCATTACTATACTTGTGGGAACCTAAATCTGTTTACACAGTCACGTGTGGGGACTCGCCTCCCTTATGGGGACAAATTGGAGGTCCCCATGAGGGGAATCATTCATTTTAGGGTGAAGACTTGGTTAGGATTAGGGTTAGGATTAGGGTTAGGGTTAGGGTTAGGATTAGGCATGTGTTGGTTATGGTTATGGTTTGGATAAGTCTCCTGGAAATGCATGTAAGTCAATATAATGTCCCCTGAAGTGATGTATACATGGTGTGTATGTGTGTGTGTGTGTGTGTGTGTGTGTGTGTGTGTGTGTGTGTGTGTGTGTGTGTGTGTGTGTGTGTGTGTGTGTGTGTGTGTGTGTGTGTGTGTGTGTGTGTGTGTGTGTGTGTGTGTGTGTGTGTGTGTGTGTGTGTGTGTGTTTTATCTGATCCGGATGGTTTCTAATTCCTTTTCTTTATGGCGGACGGGGAACACCATGGTGTTACAAAGTTGACTAAATCATCCAAAATTCAATGAAAGTGGTGATCAGCCATTGTGTATGTTCAAATGTCTACTGTGAAGGATATCATAAAGCCTTAATGCAATCAAATGTAAAACAAAAAAGTTATGATTGATGAAAGTAGTAAATCGGTCAGATTTGACCCGAAGACAACAGGAGGGTTAAACAACACATACAGTTTCAATGACAAATATCAATATTTGTTTTCTCCATGTGTAGAAACTTCATCAATTCTGTCACCCACTGGACATGAGTGGGAGACGCCTCCTGCTATATTCGTTATTTTTACAATGATAAATAGTGACTGTTCTTACCTGTTGCACAGTCAGGGCCTCTTTTGCCAGCAGGGCAGAGGCAGTGTCCCGTCTGGGGGTCACAGTCAGTGTCGGGGGGGCAGGAGCAGAGACCCTCACAGCCTGGACCATGGAGACCTGGGGGACACTCTGTGAACAACAGGGAAATCATAGTGGTAAACTACATGTATACAGCTGTTTCCCAGTGTTTGTGACAAACTCAAACTAATTCACCCATTCACACACATTCATACAGAGGCAGGGGCTGCCATTCAAGGTGGTCCAATCAAACACTTTCACACATGGGCCAAGCAATTTGGGGTTAAGTATAGTAATTGCAGTGGCTGGGGATCCAACCACCAACCTTCAGATTGGAGGACAACCACATATCATCTGCTTCTAACCCTTAAATAATCTAATTATATTAAAAGAAAATCAGTCAAATGCAAAACCATTCAATTAACTATTCCATTTTTTGGGGAGGAAATACAGATTTTTTAATTTAATTTTTTATTAATTTGAATACTAATTTTAATACTTGAAATACTTGTTTTATTTTACATATTTATTGCCCATTGTATTCAATGTGTTCATGTTTTCTTGCTTTGTATTGGCCTTGTAGATACAGCTGAATGAAAAAAAAAAAAAAAACAGTGGACAAAAGTGTGAATATTTTTGTATCATGAAACTCAAAATACGCAAGAAAATAAATATGGAATAGAAAAACATAATTCTCATATAAAATCATTTCCTTTCTTGGACCTCATTGGATAACAACTCACCATTATGGCAGAGGTTCCCCATGAAGCCTGGTCTGCACTCACACACTCCGCTCTCCTTATTGCAGGAGGCTCCGTTCTCACAGTCAGGACATGCTGACTGGCACTTCATCCCCCAGAATGCATCAGGGCAGTCTGCGGAGCACCCAGTATCTTTCAGATTAACTGAGCAGTAAACCACTTATGTTAGCTATCACTCTGTAAAGTCCTAAAGCCACTTATGACTCGATGTTTTAGTGGAATGTATTTAATGGGGAGTAAACTACAAGGAAACAGATTACTCACACACCCTGGTGGTTGTGTTGGATACTACAACTACTGAGGTCAGTAAATTCAAACAGCATTTCATCACATTTTCTTTTGTCTACAACAAAAGTGCAAAAAACCTCCACGCAATGTCTAAATAGAAAACAATGAAGGTCTAGGAACACAATTATGCATACACATCTATGTTTTATGCAAGTTAGAAAGCTTGCAGAGGTTATTTTGCTACTTTTTTCTCATAGAGTTGAGTGTTCCTTTACACTCCAATACAACTTAATTTGTCTAAAATGTCCTAAAACTCAACAGAAATGCATTGTAACACAAACAAATTCAACATTAATATACCTTCATGACAGGAGTCCCCAGTCTTCCCTGCAGGACAGATGCATCGTCCGGTTACATGATCACATGGAGCTCCTCCACAGCCACAGGTCAGACGACAGCTCTCACCATATCTCAGCGATGGGCAGGCTGGAGACACAACAGATGAAAACAGCTTCTTTTTATTAAAAGCTACAACAATTGTCGGTCACAATAAAACAAGATGGGATTGCACACGCTTGCCAAACAAAGTGAAATACAAGAAATACTCAGGTTATGTTCTGTTTATTTATTCAGCCTCTGCCAATCGTCTCTGCAGAGTAAATTACCCCTGTCATGACCTGGCCTGCAACGTAAAACGCTTACAATCCAGAAAATGTGGACTTCTTTTTTCATTTGGCTTTGACAAACCCAGCAAGCCTAAACCTGGACGGTTCATTGGTGCTGACACACTGAAACTCTGCTCTGTTATCTTAGTCCAATCCATGGAGGCACAAAGTCTTGTTTTCCACTCATACACAATGTTCTGTATCACTTTAGATCACAACAACTTGAAGGCACTCACATATTTGAGGCTGTAAAAAGAACACCTGCATTGACCGGGTGAAATATAAATGAAAGCATTTTTTTATTCACCCATTAAATCCACACGATCCATCAATTGCAGCAGGGAATGAATAGAAAAGGGCTTAATAGAGAAAGATAAAGAATTGTGAAAGGTTGCGACAAAGGTGGAGAAACTCATTCATATCAATTTGTGTTGACATCAGAAAGGACACGCAAGAGTACAAGCATGAAGTATGCAAACAATAACTGCACATGTAGGCACGAGTCAGTGTGCAAACCCACGTACTTCACACACATGCTGACAGTGAGTGATGCTCTACTAAAATAGTGAGCTCCACATGAGAGCGCTGTGGAGTATAAAGGGGAAATCATACATTTAAAGGGGCCCTGTTATGCTTTTTAAGTTTTCCCATACCTGTAGTGTGTTGGTATTGGTTTTACCCCCCCCCCCCACTGCCCGAAACGCCTCCATTGGACTCCTTTGATTACTTCCGTAACACTCCCACTTATTGGCTAGTGCTCCAACAAAATGTACGTGACAGGATAAGGGGCGGGACATCTCTAAGCGGTTGACCAATCCCATCGCATATTGTGTCTGATAATTGTGTTGAGCCGACAGAGAAAAACCTTTCCTCACCAAGTTGACATTTTTCTCCGTGAAGACCTGCAGGACATCTCTGACTGCACTCCCCGGTCCGCGGGTCACATGACCCTCCACCTGGACAATCACATGGCTGCTCACAGCCGGCACCGAAGAACCCTGGCTCACATTCTGCATTGAGACATGAGCACATACACAAAAAAGTGAGATTAAAACAGACAATCTTAAAGCACATATTCAAATCTTCAACAATTACTTTAAAGGGAAATTAAGTTGGATATTTTTTTAAGTGCTTGTACCTTTCTCACACTGTGGTCCGTGGTGGGCGGTCTTACAGAAACAGCTTCCTGTTTTGGGGTCGCAGCCAGAGGAATGTTCTTGAACACAGTCACATTCCCGGGAACAGCCGGCCCCGTGCGTCCACCTGGGACAAGCTGAGAGACGAGATCAGTGTGAAGAAGACAGACCAAGACACAAGATGTTCCCATGTTTAAATGGTCAGTAATGGCTGTAACTAAATACATTAAAGGGGCCTTAATATAATGTGTTGTGGTGTTCCCTGTCCTGTTGTTAGTTATATAGGTTTGTGTGCATGTAAATGGTCTGCAAAGGCTAAAATCCTAAAATCCCCTCCAGAGGGAGTGTCTCTCCCGCACACTCCCCACCTGCCAGAAACACCTCCATTAGACTACTTTGTTTACTTCTGAAACATAGTGACATCACTGTGTAACACTTGCCCTTCTATTGGCTAGCGCTCAAACACATTGTGCGTGATAGGCTAAGCGGTTGACCAATCACAACAGAGTCGTCCAGCTAACCAATCAGAGTAGTAGACTAACGAAAGAGTTGTGATACTTTAAAGTTCTACTTAATCACATCTCAGTAGACACACATAGGGTACTTTAAATCTTAATTAAAACAATCTGTTGAACTAAAGGATAAAGTGTTCCTCGTGGGTTTAGGAAAGGCTCCTACTTCTTGAGCTGAAGGAACGCACTTGGATCAGCTGGATAATACATGGCTACAGCTGTAAACTAAAAACAGGCAGTTATATAACAAAAAGTTGACTTTTTAAGAGACAAAATATGATGCATTGCTGTAGATTAACTATCAAATCATATACAAATCTTACATTTGGCACACACACGAATATATATAGAAATTAAATGCAGCACACACTACAACAATATCAATAATAAAAGCAAAACACTGAATAAGAGACCATTTGAATGCACAATGAGTACATTTCCTTTGCTTAGGGAAGGTTTTGAATGCAGGACTTTTACTTGTAACAGAGTATTTCTACACTTTGCTACTTTTACTTAAGTTAAGAATCCAAATCCTTCTTCGACCATGATGTCGTACAACAAATAAATGCACATGAATTAAACGTAAATACATATAAATTACAAGTTGCAAAAGCTACAGTACTGCTTCCCTCAAACAACATATGGGAATGCTTTTCTTTCAAAGGTTAATCAAGGAAAACAAATCCACAGCAACTTCTGTGTGCTGAAGTAACAGTGGTGATAGTTCATTAAGGGAAGAATGTCAAAATGAATCCTGCTCGACTATCAGATTACACTTTAATACGAGCTAAGCGAACACACCCAACAACCGTGTTATCACAACTTCAGACCTCTGCCAGTTTAAGTCATGGGACCACTGCCTCCTTTTACCCTTAGATGATATCATACAAATGATGGCGCATCGTTACTGATTGCAAACCTTCTAACCTCTTAAAATGTTTTCTGAAAACTGTGTCACATTAGAAGAAGCCTTGGACATATTGAGTGTTTTGTAAGACTTTTAAAGCGTCCACATCGTCTCTGCATGAACAATCTGCACGAGTTTTGCCAAGATTCTCCCTCTTCGGCTACAAACCAACTGAATTCCGCTCCACCCTGTCCCTCTCGACATTGGCTTGATGCTAGGTGCAGCTGCAGGCTCTGGTTACACCCTCTCCACCCTCTCCACCCTCTCACTGTCCCCGCTGCAGGATGGAGCACACAGCTGTGAGGTTCTGATAATATTCCTCTTGCACATTCTTCCATCATTCGGTTTGGTCTTAGAAGAGCGAGCAGCTTCCACACTGAAGAGCAGAGATTCGTCGCCATGTCATTACGGAGGCTTTGGAGCAACCCTAAAACTCTGGGGGATGTCAATGTTGTGACGGAGGAGCTGAAGAACCTTTATTATAAGAGGCTGATGCCGATTGAGAAATACTATGCCTTCAGTCACTTTCATTCCCCGTGCTACGAGGATGCAGAGTTCGACAATAAACCCATGGTGTTGGTGATGGGTCAGTACTCGACTGGAAAGACTACTTTCATCAGGTTAGTCAGAACATCCATGCTTTTGTGTGCAAGTAATCTGCTGATGTTCTAATGTTGGTTTGGACTTCAGGTATCTCATAGAACAAGATTTCCTTGGCAGCAGAGTAGGACCAGAGCCAACCACGGACTGCTTCACTGCCCTCATGCACGGCGAGGTGGAAGGCATCATCCCTGGAAATGCCCTCACAGTGGACCCCAAAAAGCCCTTTCGCAACCTCGACCCTTTGGAAACGCTTTTCTGAACAGGGTGACAAAAGCAGACGAGAAAGAGATAGGGGAGGGAGGATATTTTCCTACTATTTCTTCCACTTTTGGCAACATGTGTTGGCAATGTTCTGTCTTTTCAGACGGCCAAACATTGCAGTGTGAAGCTGTCTTATGAATATTCATTAAACACATTCCAGTGAGTGCATTATGTTGAAGCGTTTATTCTCTCCAGGTTTCAGTGCGTCCAGATGCCAATAAAGTCCTGGAGAGCGTGATATTTCGACCGCCGGGCATCTTAACTGCTGCGAGAAGAAAAATGAGTCGAGGTGAAATAACACTTTTCTAATTTCCTTTTCAAAGTTTATGGGTCTTCTTCTTCTACTTCTAAATACTCCGTTTTAGAAAGTTGGACAGCATTGTCGTTGTCAGGAGGATTTCAATTCCTGGTAACAGAAGAGACGAAGCAGTGCATTACAATAATAATATTCCACCCTATTGAAATTCAAACACTTGAACTCAGAAGCACTGCAGCTGTAAGTAATATCACTGAGTTTGGGAGGAGACGAGCAGGAAGACAAAGCTGTCTCCCCTTTGTTTTATCAACACATTAATCTATGGGTGTAACTGACATGGCCTGCAACCAGTGAGAGCCTCTGGGATATACAGTGGTGTTGAGGCACAGAAACTTTCCTTAATGAGATCCCTGTGTTTTCATTCCTCATCCCCAGGCTACGACTTCCCAGCAGTGCTGCGCTGGTTTGCAGAGCGTGTGGATCGGATCATCCTGCTGTTTGATGCACATAAACTAGAGTTCTCCGATGAGCTCACTCGGGCCTTCGGGGCGCTGTGCGGACACGAGGACAAGCTGCGTGTGGTTCTCAACAAAGCCGACAGGGTGGACTCGCAGCAGCTCATGAGAGTGTACGGCTCGCTCATGTGGTCGCTGGGAAAGTGTTTAAAACCCCGAGGTCTTGCGGGTTTATATTGGAATCTTTCTGGTCAGAGCCAAGGCAGGTTGTGGCGACCACTATCAGCTGATCGAGGTGGAGGAGGAGGACCTGCTGGCCGACATCAGGAACCTGCCGCGCAATGCTGCAGTACGCAAGCTGAATGACCTGGTGAAGAGGGCGCGCTTAGTGAGGGTGAGAGATCTCATTATTCCATTTCAACCAATTATAACTGAGATTAAAGGTCACCTATTGTGCAACATCCACTTCTTCATGTCTCTTCTACATCAACATGTCTCTGTGGAAAGAGACTCTGAAAGTTTCAGGAACAAAGATTCTCTCTCTTTTTGTCCTGATCCATTTCTATAAAAACCTGTCTGAAAATGAGCTGATCAGATTTTGGCCACTTTATGATGTCATAACCATTTTTTGGCTTGTGTAACCATTAGCCAATCAGAAACCAAGGTAACCCCCCCCCCAAAAAAAACACACACCTTATCACCTGAATCTCCTCCTAGAGCACCATTGTGTTCTTTTTAACCAATCATCTCTCAGAGGGGCGTGGGGAGGGGCTCCTTATTTTCATCTAAAGTCACAGACAGAGAATCAGCACTTGGAAACAGGGCTGAAACAGAGGGGATTATGGGTAATGCTGCAATGATCTGTTTGGTGTTTGGAGCCAAACACTTCAGAGACATGTTTGTATATATCTGAGAGCTATAATATATTGATGAAAAACAGTATAACAGGGGACCTTTAAGTTACTCTGAATTCTCCTTTCTTTTCCCACTAGGCTCATGCCCACATTATCAGCTATCTGAAGAAGGAGATGCCGACTATTTTCTGCAAAGAAAGCAAAAAGCACAACCTGATTTACCAGCTTCCTGTGATTTTCACCAAGATCCAGCAACAGCATCGAGTCCCAGCGGGCGACTTCCCTGACTGCACCAAGATGCAGGTTAAACATTACTTTTAATTAAATCTAACATGTTTAGAATTGATTTACCAACTCTTAAACTATACATGTGTTTGCATAACTTTCTAGGAGAAGCTTTTAGGTCAAGATTTCTCAAAGTTCAAGACACTGAAGCCCAGTCTGATGGCCTCGCTGGATAAACTCCTGACCACTGACATTGCCAACCTGGTGCCTTCTCTTCTCCAACAACAGGAACTGAAGGAAGGAAGGAAGCCCAGAAATAGAAATCCCTCCCTGGAGTTGCCTGGAACGGGAGTTTTTGGGAACATTTCAGGCGTGAGCTTTACAAAAAGATTCCTTTCAATGGAATTCAGGAGAGACGACGAGCGTGCGTAGGGCGGAGATTTCGTCGATGTGGGCGGTGGAGTGGAATGGAAGAAATACAAGCCGAAGTACGACGAGATTTTCGAACAACACTCAGTCCAAACGACGGGCCAAACTGCGCGGCACCAAAGTGTCCGAGAGTGGATGACCACCACGCTGCTGCCCAGCTCCGTGCTCGCTCACATCTGGAGGCTGTCGGACGTGGACGGGGACGGCATGCTGGACAATGAGGAGTTCGCTCTGGCGGTCCACCTCATTGAGGGGAAGCTGGAGGGACACTGGCTCCCCCGAGAGCTGCCGTCCCACCTGGTGCCCCCGTCAAAACGGCTCAGTACAGCCAGCGATGAAGAGCAAACATGAGGCTCTGTGTACTTTATGTAGACAATTGTACATAATCTAGTAGAAGCAGTACAGAACTAACACAATGTACAGAACCTGAGAAGGTGTTATCCATTTGTATGATAATCCTCATGACACTTAAAGATTGGCATTAATGGTTTCACATCATATCGTTACCCATATTTCACTTCTGCATCCAATCAAGTAACCAGGAATGAAGAATAATACAGAAGCATTTATATTTTTCTTTCAGGTTAAACATTTGTTTTTTTCTTACACAAAAGAGCTGAGGTGAATGAAGTACTAAGAGTAGCCGTCCCACCTGGTGCCCCCGTCCAAACGACCCTTTGTACATTATATAGACAATTTGTACATAGTTTCCTAACATCATCTGGAAATAGTGATTAACAAAAACTGACAAAATGTACAGAACCAAAGAAGTTGTTATCCACTTATATGTCAATCACCAAGATGCCAACACCTAATGTCTGCCAATGATGGTTTAACTTCATCCTTTAACATTCAATCATACAGAAGAGCATTATGAACCACATGTGTATTTGTATTTTGTATTAGCTAATAATCTGAATCTGTAAAGCAATCAGATACATGTAGTGGAGTCAAAAGTAAATAATAGCTCCCAAAATGTTATGGTTATGGGTTGGAAATGTGAAGTAGCATAAAATGAAAATAGTTTATTCATTGCAGAACCTAATCACATTGCTCATATATCACATACTGCTAAAGTATATTATTATCAATTGTATTAACTCGTAAACACCACTGGCCAGTATTATTTCAAACTAACACATGGGCGGTTCTAGAGTGGGGCGAACAGGGGCCAGTGCCCTTAGATTAGAATATATGATAATATAATTTGTAATAGTGTTGCAGCAAAGACTGTCACTTTTTTGTAAATGAAATACTAGTCATGTTTTTTTTTTGTGGGCTATGACTTCATATTGAATTAAAAAAGTTAAAATATTGAACACTGTCTTTGTCTCTCATCAAATGTACACCACTCATACATAGTTGATATTTGTCTATGTTGATGTTACACTGCTGTGATGCAAGTAAAATGTCAGACTTGATCTGACCATTAAAGTATTATTGTATCGTAAATACATGTAACATGGCCCCCTAGTTAAAATTGGTCTAGACCCACCACTTTTTTAACACTTTCATCAGCAGCATTATGCAGTAGGTATTATAATGAGGTCATTGGTACTCACACAGGTGGCAGAGGCGGCCGTACAGTCCCGGAGAGCAGAGGCAGCCCCCGTACAGACGGTGGCAGTGTCCGTTGTTGGGACACTTACACTTTCTCTTGCAGTGCATCCCGAAATGACCCCTGGGACAACCTGTTAACACGAAAAATGCGACTTTAGAACACAATTTTAAAATAAGTTTGAACGATAAGAAAAGGCAAAATTGTGAAACTCAACATTGTGGGTTTTTTCTACGTCTTTCATTTTCTTTTTGTTGCTGTTCGCTTGTTTGTTGACTTTTACATTTAATTGGAGGTTCCTGCTATAAGCCCTGAGCTATTTTACTATTTTACTTTGTTTTATTGTGTACATGAATAGAATTTCCAAATAGTGCCATTAATTCATCACTAAGAGACAGGGTCGTCAGGAGATATTGCTTCATATATCTATATTTTTAGCACCACCACCTTAGAGCCTGGTTTTTGTATTCACACCTGTGTGTACCTTTAGGAATGTTTACAAACCGTCCTCGCACAGCAGGCCCTGCACCCCGGGGGGGCACACACACTTCCCGGTCACGGGGTCACACGAGCCTCCGTTCTGGCACCGACACAGACTGTTACAGGCCGGCCCATAGGTCCCCTGGGAGCACGCTGAGAGAGAGAGAAGCATGGGAAAAAGCGTTAATACCAGAACAGTTGCAGTGTAAATTCATGGATTTGGGGGATTTATATGACAGCAAATACAATGACTCGATTCAAGACGATTCGGAGGATTGATCGTCATATGCACAATATCTACGACGTTGTTTTTAGCAATGAGGATCTTAAGTCTCCGGATCCTCCAACAGTAAAACATACAATATACTTAAAAAAAACTAATTTGACCATAAAACAATGGTGCAAGTTAAATTGAGGAAAGAACATCATGTTCATTTTAATATTGTGAATTGCGCACATTTCTGTTCAACAGCATTTTACACACTTTACTGTACTTCGTTTTTGTTGTATATTATATATTTCAGGTAAATATTTCTCTATATTTGAATGTTATAATAGATTTTAAAATAGTTCTATTTTTGGTCATTTTCCTATTCAAAATCTCTTACTATGTCTATGTATACACCAAAGCAAATTCCTTCTATGTGTAAAGATTGCCAAGACAAACTTGTTTCTCATTCAGATTGTGATGTAAGAGAGTAGAGCAGCTGGGTAATGCTTCAGTGTTAAGAAGTCAGTCAACACTTCCTGTGTTTCCCCACGCTGCGTGCCCTCCTGACTCCTAATCTCTCTGGCCTTGTTAGCAATTACTGCAAGAACCAGCTGGCTAAAGTGTACCAATCCATCAAGAGAAAGTCTGCTTGAATGCCATGTCACACTTTCCTCACAGCTATTTTTACGTCACTACACGAGAAGATAAGGAAGTTTAATATAATACATGGTAGTTTATAGCTTTACAAACACTGAAAATACATTTCAACTAAATGAAGAAGCAGGAAATGCTTTGAGTATGAGATTAAGTTACAAATCACTTTTTTAAGATGAAGTGGTGCTCTCTCTCAGTACAACCAAAGTACATGAACAGTACATTGGGTGGGGTTATGGGACATTAATTCTGCTTCATAATGATGGAATTGATACTGGGGTGTTTCTTATGGCATGTTAAGGCATGTTGAAGTAACATGGAAAACACACAGAGCTGTTTGAATGGCACAACATACTTTGTATACCAACTGTGAAGGTGTGTGTGTGTGCGTGTGCGTGTGCGTGTGCGTGTGCGTGTGCGTGTGCGTGTGCGTGTGCGTGTGTGTGTGTGTGTGTGTGTGTTGGTCTTGGGAAGAATGTCACCAATTTTGGTGACGGTTTTGTTTATTAATTAATTAATGCTCTAGATTGTATCTGTTTATATTATTAATAATACACCTTTTTTTATGATGTTGTTACCCATCCTAAAAACTGTATATATATCTTGGGTAAATAAAATCCTTATTTTTCACCTGCATTCCTAGTTGTTGCGTACCCTGGTCCTTCACACCAACATGTGAACATTGAACTCTGGGATATGATTCAATTACATATTGGCCTAAATTAGGTTTTAACAAATGTTCCTTGCTAAATAATTGTGTTACATTTTATACAAAATAGCGGTGTGTGTATGTCTACAAAATGTTAGTGACATGTAAACTGTACAAAAGGGACTAAAACACAACATAGTGTAATGTTTATGTACATTCAGAATAACACACGTATGAATGCATTAGTTTACTCTTTCTTGTTGCTTTAACTTCATATAAGATATCAAAGTGACAGCTGTTTTGTGTTTTTTATTGTAATCTATTTTTACTTAATTCGATTATATTTTTCTGTGTGTTTGGAGCACTTTTGAACTGTGTGTTTTACTTAATCACTTACTTCCCTTATAGACGACTACCAATGCTATTGCCTATTTTTATCTTTGCTTCAGGCATAATATAATCCTAAATATGCTTCCTATATCCAGACCCATCACTTCCAAGGCATGCGTGTGGATACTGCCACCACCTTAGTTTATTAAAAAGTGACAGATTGCCTCTAACGGACTCCTCTTATGATTACCAGCCTTTCTGGGGTTCAGACCAGAGACAGCCATTAATCATGGAGCTGGATGGGAACAATGGAGCCTTGCTTTCTAACCCTGCAGTGGGCATCCTTGGCCTGAGGCGGTGCTCTCGCTGTGGGCCTGGCCTCGCTCCAGACAGATTGATTCCCCCGGTGCTCAGTGTTCAGCAGCCCATAAACAACGCAGCCTCCCACACAGAGAAGCAGACAGCTTTGATACATGGCCCTGCGTCGCTGCACACAGGGAGCCATCGCACCGCTCTCTAAAACTAGGACACATTGCTACAGGACGTTTAAATAGATCTGTGAGGAGACCAGGTGTGTATGTGTGTAAGTACTGAAGAGGGGTGCAGGAATGAGTCCTAAAACCAAGATATGAGTTAGCATGTTACCACCTTCAGTACCCTTCTTTCAAAATCAACGTGTGGATGAAATAAGATCTGTGGTTCACAAAACCTTTAGAGATTTTAACATGTTTTATGACATAAAAGGTCAGTAAATACACCACTGGGGAATGTCTGAAGCTCCTATGTGTCATATGCCGGTTGCTATCAAGGGACTATATGAGAGGTCATCACACCAAACATTAGCCGCCTTTAGCTTAGCAACAGTGATGTGAGGTCATGTGACACTGATGTAGTTCCTTTATGGCCTAACATTTGCGTTTAACTTCTCATTACTGTATCTATGCTTCAAACATCAAACGATGGTGTTAATATGTGGAGATTATCCTAATGATCGAAACATGAAAGTATAATGAATGCGATTTCAACAGAACTTGTTTTCTGCAATTTTCCAAATTCCTCCTCTCTTCTGCCTCTCTGTTCAGGTGTTCCTGATTTCCTCTTGGCTCCACCTTTGCCTAGGTGTTCCAGATCTGCCCTAATAACCCATATAAAAGGAAGGCTGGAGGAGAAGGATCTCTTTCTTGTTTTGCTGCCAGACACTGCAGAGCTCAGTCGTCCTCAGTTTAGGATTGTACACTTTATTTTGCCCTTATATTTTTGTGTATTTTGGTCCCCCATTAATGCAAGTCTTAGCAAGAGTGTCATTATTTGTATATGAGCTTTATTGAATAGAAAATGTGGGATTCACCAAGTTTGATAAATGCAGGCTCATTATAACATACTGCCCCCCTTATCTGAGTATCCGAACCAACTGTTTGAAAACGACATCCTTTTTCGTTCGAAAGCCAACGAGAGCAGCTTTCTTTTTTTTGAGAAAAGACAGGTGTTAAGATGCAGCTTCAGAGTGAGAGAGTGCTGACCCTTAAAATCACATCTCTTGGCATGGGAAGGAATAAGTGTTGTCCCCAAAATGTCAAAATATTCCTTTGAATAGTCCTAGGACATCATAGATTTGAATGTTTGTGCATACTTTCAGCATTTTGAGAAAACTGGAGAAAGCAAGGTTGCATAGAGTTTAGCCCACTGCCTAACTGCGAAAGTTACAAAGAAAATACATTACGCACAATAAACAGATGTAATGTGATCGTCTGATGGCTGTACTCACTCTTGTTACAGATGATCCCTGTCCATCCGGCTGCACACTCACACCGGTCTCTGTTCTCACTACACACTCCGTGATCACAGTCCTCACAGCTCACACTGCAGTCATCCCCGAACGAGCCATCCAGACACACTGAAACAGAAATGGCCCCCTGAGAAAAGGTTTCTGCTTTCATGACTTCCTGGCCCTGAAGACTTCATGAAACAATAACATCATTTTCTTACCGGGATTACATATAAGTGTCATGCTTTTTACTGTACCTATGCTGCTGGACAGTCTGAGCTCTCCTCGGCGCCCCCTCTGGATCTCTACTTCCCTGTCACCACCATCACTATCATCTTCATCACTAACATAACGGGAGTGTAAGGCCGCTGTGTACTGCAGGAGCTGAGGAACCTTGCGAAACAGCAGGTCTGGTAATCTATGGACCTCCAGCTGTTCATCCTCGTCTTCCTCCTCATCATCTTCCAGTTCCCCATACAGAGCTACAGAAGAAAAAAAATACAGTTAAACCATTTTTTTGAATGGCTGAAACACTTATAGGCTTAACACATCCATAAATAACAGTCCGTTCCAAGAAAGGCGAATCAAAATGTCACTCACAAATGCAGGAGTGTTGGTCCTGATCCAAGCGGAAACCCAGCTCACAAAAACACTCGTAAGTTCCCAGGGTGTTGACACAGTCGTGTTCACAGCCCGAAGTCTCTGCCAGGCACTCGTCAACGTCTGACAGAAAAATATACAAACAAGCAGCTTTAGGGAAGGTACTTTACACGACTACTTCACACTGGAAGAATGTGAAGTACAGCAACGCTGGGGACACATATAGGTTGGTTAACAAAGGTATTTAAAACTGCTAAAAATGATTTGGATTGTGAATGTGATAGAAAATATAATGCTAGACAGTCACATGCCAGTAACTTGATTCAGTGCCTACTTGTTCAGAGGGCATACATGAACCAAACATGAAATAGCCCATTAGAAACTTGAGAAGGCACATTGTCAAAGGTGGTTCGATTACAGTAGAAACGCATTGGCAAATTATATTACAATACAAATTAAGAAAATGGTCCAAAAAAGTTTGTAATTTCTGTAGTGGCAAGTAAAATGGCAATAAGTGATTCGACTACATTCATCACTATACACAAAATATGAATTACCAGCAAGCTACTGCTTACCGTATTGAAAATGCTAGCACTGCAAACAACACATGGATATGTGGTAAAAGAATCATAGAAAAAGCCTTTGTCATTGGTTGGTGGTTGAACAACAGGTTTATATTGATGACGTACAACTTTGATTTGCAGGCAGGTCGTGCAGATTAGCCTCAGGTGGACCTTTCCTTTTGTTTAGTTATTTTACTTTTGCCTCATTTCTTTTAACTTCTTCTACCAATCTAGCAGTTCCTCTAAATCACATGTGTCAAACTCAAGGCCCGGGGGCCAAATCAGGCCCTTGGTGGATTTCATTTCGGCCCGCAGGATAATTTCTAATTACTATTAGATCTGGCCCGCCGGTATATTGCACGCACACCTTCACTCCATCCTGAGGGTCTCCTCAGTTCAGAGCCTGAGCCCAAACATTGATGACCTTGCTCCCAAGATGAGATGCCAAGTATCTGGCTTGAGCTAGCATCACAGAGCAGCACACTGAGTTTACATGGATGTTTCCTTCTGCACTTTGTTTCTTGAGACAACAGGGCATGTTGGGTTTCTCTTTGAGGGAAATAGTTTTGTTGAAGCTGTTGTTGTTCTGTGGAAAAATGTAATCATAAGGAATGACTCTGGAAAAGCTGCAGATAGAGCCATAAGAAATGAATGTCGCTGATTATTTAATGTTTAATGTTGTTTTTATAGGCAATAATTTAAGCTTTGTTAGTTCCAGGTTTAATATGTGCAATAAGTTCATTTCAATAAGTTTTGCAATAAACATTGAACCAGTCCGCCCCTCGACTAGTACCCATTTTTTAATTTTGGCCCACTGTATATTTGAGTTTGACACCCCTGCTCTAGATTGTACAGAGTGTGGTCGTTAGTGAGCAAAGTTTTCTGTTTTCTGCTCTGAAATGGCCTAGAAAAGTGGCATTTCTGAGAAATCAGTTAGTGTAATTGATGTCCTGTCCACAACAACAACAAAACACTCAATCAGGATTCGTACCATCGCAGCCGCAGCCGTCTGGGTTGAGTCTGTGGCCGGCTCTGCAGCTGCACTCGTAGCCGCCCGGGTAGTTTCTGCAGAAGTGCCGGCAGCAGGCCCCCCCACTGAGACACTCGTCACTGTCTGAGGGAAGCACGCAGCGGGACAGTTTCAACAGATGGTCGAAAAGACAAGCAGAGAGTCACAAAGTGGATGTAAATCACAGAAAGCAAATGAAGAAACTAGTTGACTTCATAATAGTCATTAATTTCCCTTCCTACTTCCTTTTTACACACATATCTACATCCCCTTCACCCGTTAATCCCTCCCTACTGTACATCCCTTCATTCCTACATCCCTTCATCCTCTCATCCCTCCCTATTTCCCTTCATCACTTCCTCCATACTTCCCTCCATTCCTCCCTCCCTATCAGAGGTTGCGTTAACCGAATATTTTCCGTCTATGACAGATTTTTTTTAACAATGACGGACAAATCTGAAAGCAGTCCGTCATTTTGACAGATTAGAACAAACTCGGAACAGCGCCAAAGTTTCCCCGCAGCGAGGCTCCGGTGTTATGCCGTGTTATGCATGCCCTCCAGAAAGGAAATCATACCGTTTCCAAACCTAACTGTGCCGTACAAATCATTGAAATGTCTGTGAGTTTTGGCTTGACGCTGTGCACGCTCCCGCGAGGTGCAGCAGCCATGCATAACACGGCGCATGTGAACTGTCCCGTCCCCCCATCCCCCCCCGTTGACAGTTCACGAGCATGCTTCCCCCCCCCCTGTCAGAGTTGTGTAAAGGCCGACGGGTAATTCTGGATTTTGACAGAAGTTTTACGATCCTGTCCGTCAAAATGACGGGCAGCGAAAAAGTCTAGCGCAACCTCTGCTCCCTATATCCTTTCATCCCTTCCTCCATACTTCCCTTCATCCCTCCCTCCTTACACCTCTTCGACCCTTGATCCCTTCCACCCTGGTACCCTTTTCCCATTTATCCCTCCTTCACATTATCCCTAGATCCCTTCCTTCCTACACTGAAACACGACTGAGATGGACCACACCCCCCAAACGAGTCTCCCTGGACTTCAGTTTTTCCTCCAGACCAACCTGACATCCCTCATCCTTCTTCACCTCTTCCCATTTCCCTCTCAGTTACCACCTGTCATTAATTCTTAAACAGACATATTGTTGTGGTGTGGTCCTTGCTAGTGAACTTACCCACACAGGTCTTCCTGTCCAGGGCCAGCTGGTAGCCGTGGTTACAGGAACACAGCGGTCCGTTGGTGGTGTGTTCGCAGTGATGAGAGCAGCCTCCGTTGATCTTCTCACAGCTGTTCACAATCTCCATCTCAATACCTGGGGAGGAGAAACACCAAAACATACATTTTAACGCATTACAAGATACTAAACATACGGAAAATGTTACGGGGCATTTGTGAGAATGATTTATTGTTTGTCCTCGCTGCAGATGCAGAAAGGAAATTCCCATTATGAAGCACAGAAAGAATTTCAATTACCGTTGAAATGTATTTTATGTGTACTTACCTACTACTAACATTCATTTAGAATATTCCTGATGTATTAAATGAGAAGTATTATTGCTGTCCTAAAACTTGATGTTTTTGATTATTTCAGGCACACAAGCTAGAGGGCATCTTACATGCAGCGCACTTATTTATGTCATATTTTGTGAAGCAAATAATCACAATAAAATGATTACCTTAAGTGTCTGTATACTCTATATGTTAGTAACACATTGCCGTACATCAGCAAATTGGATTGAGGAACAAAATACATCGTAAATGTAAGTGCAGTGTGCAAAATATGCTTCACGAAAAAGTCAAAACTGGAACAAAATCGACATCATTACATGCCATAATGAGTGTTCATATTTATAGATTGGTATTATTTTATGTATTTGTAAACTTTGCATTGCATCCTGCATATATGCTTTCCAGTGTGTTCACTTCTATATATTTAAGATAGGTATGTTTCATGATAAGTTTCAAGGCTTTTATTGTCATGTGTGCATACCTACAGTGTAGATATGACAATGAAAATCACAGGCTCCTCCAACAGTGCAACACAATAAAACAGATTAAATAGTACTAGTTCTAAACTAGTAATACAAATGTAGAAGTTATGAGGTTATTTGCACAAAGAAATGTCTGCAACAGTGTCGCTGGGATGTGTGGAAGTCTTTTCATTTGTTACGGTCTTTACTTACGGTAGCACTGTTTGCCATCAGCACCCAGTTCAAAGCCCGGATTACACACACAGCTGAAGGAGCCCAGCGTGTTGACACATCTGTGGGAACACTTGGCACGGCCTGAACCGCACTCATCAATGTCTATAGGAAACAAATATATAACAACAAACTATTCATTTCAAAAATCTATCTGTTTAGTACTTTCTGATCTCAATATCACACATAAAAGTGTGCATTTGGGAAAGAGTTATTCATGGTTACTCTTATGTCTGAACTGTCTTGGAACAGAGGAATTTACATGTAAACATTTTGAAAATCTTCTTTCCCCCATAGGTAAGGAAACATCAGCAAGAATAGTTTCCAACAACAGCCTCTCAAGAATGAATCAGTCAATACGGGTCTGTTGTAACAGATTTGATTTCAAGCCAAAGTTTAGTGTAGCTGTAATTTATGGAGAAATCATAAAAGTCATTGTCTCAGTGTGTGTGTGTGTGTGTGTGTGTGTGTGTGTGTGTGTGTGTGTGTGTGTGTGTGTGTGTGTGTGTGTGTGTGTGTGTGTGTCAGGTTCTATGGATTTTTTCTGCTTTTTTTATTCATCCTTCAACAGTTGACTTTTATTGGATTTTTTGCGGGTTGAAAATCAAGGCGTCTCTTAAGGCTCACGCACATTGATTCCAAATGTTCCCTTTGTGGTTTCCCAGAACAAAGAGAGTGGCTGGCATAATATCTGAATCTTTATCGCCGTTTTCCCATGGCCTCAATGCCTTAATAAATACAGCCAATTGCTTGTTTACCTAAAACGTATCATTACCTTAGAGAAATTGCGCCTCTCAGATGGAACCACTTTATGTTTATTGGTATTTAAACAACTAAGAATCTAAAATGGGAACTAATTAAAGGAATACATTGTTTATTTATTACTTTATTAATATTTCCATTTGTCTCAACAGTGTGTGATCTCCTCACCTTCACAGTTCTTCCCGTCTGCAGCCAGTGTAAAACCAGGTCGGCAGCTGCAGTGAACCCGAGTGTCTTCTGAAAGACACAGCTGGGCGCAGCCTCCATTCCTGTCCGCACAGGGGTCCCTCACTGACACACACACACACACACACACACACACACACACACACACACACACACACACACACACACACACACACACACACACACACACACACCACACACACACACACACACACACACACACACACACACACACACACACACACAAATGAAGTCAGGTCAGCGCAGCAGGATCTTCTCTGACCTTTCTGGGTAATTAATGAGCTCTGGATTATCTTGTAAATTTGACTCCCTCTCGTTCAGCTTCTTATTCAGAAACATACCCAACTATGTATGGTTATGATATCAATAACAGAAGCATTTTTAAAGTCCAGTAAGAGAAATGTAAATTCCTGCTTTTAAATGTACAGTAACTGTTTCCAAAGCTTCTTCTCAAACTCCTTTCCTCTCCACATCGTCCTACTTCGCACTCAAGTGGTTTTTGCTTTTATTTTGTCCAATTCTAACATCAGAAGCACTTATGAGAGAGATACTCTAATGAACGGGTTGTCCAGTGTTTTCAGATGTTTGATCTCATCTGTTGGACTTACATTCACAGTGTCGCCCGTCTCTCTTCAGCTGGTAGTTCTTCCTACATTCACATTTGTAGTGATTGTTGCCCGTGTCCACACACTTGTGCTCACATCCACCATTCAGCACTGAGCAGGAGTTCACAGCTTAAAAGGACAAGAAACAAAACTTCCTTAATTATAAGCATTAACATACATGGTGAGCAATTGCTGAATTGGCCGAAACTGGAAAACAATGGACGGTGATGGAACATTTACAATAAACTCTCATGGGATATAATTGAAAAAAAGGTTGGCAATCTAAAATGGCTTTCACACCTCAAACTCTAAAGCCATGTAATGATGGGAAACTCCTGAGTAAAGGGTGAAAACTGGAAAATCATATTTAAGCCAGGTCCAACGGGCACCCCTTGTTACTTCGTAATGATCTTTCCATCCCATTACTCCCATGATTTAATGATGTGCCAAATGTGAATATCAGCCGTGTGCCTTCTGTGCTCTAAACACAGACATGATGACTTCGACAGGCTGTAAAACAGAGGGAACGGCTGGCTTCACACAGCGATGACTTCCACAGACACAATTAGCTGTCCCTGGGCCTCCATCCTCAACCTCTAGCACAAGGCTGCAGTAAAAAAAATGAAGAATTAACCTGTTAAGTCCGAGAGCCCCCGTAGGGGGCTGCGCTTTTGTGTCATACCAGATTAACGGGAAGAAACTCAGCTAACTGACAATACGAACAATTTTTACCAAAACAAAACACAAGTCTCATAAGATGGGGGGGCGCCAGGCCTCAGATGATTTGAGGCCAAATATCATATTTAGACTTTCTTTCTTCTTCATTTATTTTTTTATATAATTGTAACGCAATACATGATCTTTCTTTAATATAAATATAAATGTTTCTTCTGCCCATAAAGCGTCCAAACCGGGCTTTTCTGGATAAGCGCATTTTTAAAACATAGTCATTGTCCATGCCGGTTTCAGTTGGATTATTTGTCACAGTTGCTCCGATCAGATCGGTCTCCTCCATTTTGTAGATTATTTACGACTTTTGAATCCACATAAACACATCGGCAAAATCCGGCTTACTTTGAGCATGTGTTTTAAACAGTTTAATCCCTTTGTGAATTGTTTCCACTTGCGCCGTCCTTTAATTTCTTCATACAGCGGGAATCCAAATGAATTAATCCTGAGTCCAATAACCATCAAAGTCACTCCAATAGTGCTCCTTAATTACGCTTTCATCCTCCTTTAACAACATACTTCACATTCATCCAGTTTGTGACAGGAGTTGTAGCATTTTTGAGACTTTTAAACTTTAATTACCTCCAACAGGAGTCATTTGGGGGGGCCCTTGGGAAAAAAGGTTGGGAACCCCTGGTCTAAATGACCCCTGAAGCGTCTAAATGACCCCTGAGCGCACTTAGCACGGAACTCAAGGTAAAAATACCCTTATTACTTAACTTAACTGCACATACAAGATATCAGATTAAAGCTGAGATTCCACAGATTATATAGGTATTAGTATTATCACTGAGCGATCAGAACTCGCGACAGGGGAAGCAAACACAGACATCACAACAAGTAGCTTTACGGAGCATTCACGGAGATATTCTCACTTTAGCTATTATTCTGATCAAAAGTCGTGTTCAATGGCATTAAAACGATAAAAACGCTGCTGAAGGTTAATCCATAGGTTAATCCAATGTGTCTGTCACTTTGAAAAAATTATTGATGATCCATAATTCCATTTTTATGTAAAAATCGGAGATGTTATATTAGCTGCTAATGGTAGCCACCAGAGTGTATCGCAGAGTGAAAACCACAAGCAACAAAGGAGTAGTGATTTCCAGCAAGTAGCAAGTGCTCCCATTACTTACAGGTTTGTTGCTAAATAAGGGGGAAAGTGGCTTTATTCCCCCTTTCAGATCAGGTTAGACACTGATATTAATCATGGGCGCTCAGTAATCTTATTATTTTGCACTGCAGTAACTCAAATACAGACATTCTTTCAGGTATTTTCATACACTGGATGACGCTTTCAGAGTTATTACTGGTGGTTCTAATACCTTTAATATTCTCTCATTATTATATTGCAGACATTTAGCTGACACTTTCATCCAAAGCGACTTATAAGTGCATTTAACCACGAAGAAACAAAACCAGAAAGGAAGGTTTGGCTTATTGATCGCTATTGTACTTGCAGCAGTATTGCTAAGTGCTACATAGAAGTAAGTATTTTTTTAAAATGTATTCATATATTTATTTATTGGTTTTTGTATTGTAGCAGTTATTAGTATTGTTTTTTTACTTATTGGCCAAGTTACAGTCAAAACAGTATTACACTCATGTTCATCATCATATTCCTATAACAAGAATGTATCAATCCTCTTATCTAAGGCAAGAAAGCAGATATGTGTAATTCTTAAAATATGAATTTAATCCTATATGGAGCAATTATCTACTATAGAAGCCTAATTTTTTTTAAATGCAATGTATGTATTAATCGTCTTTGCCACTGAGGAATTCTGCAAACATTCATCAATATTAATAATTATTATAATATATTATTATTATTATTATTATTTGTATATTAATTAATTATTAGTATTATTATAATTATTAGTAAGGGGAAAATGCAGAATGTGTGCAGGAGTTCATTTACTTTTTAAGTTGTGCAATACATTCTCTTGTTTAGCACTTACCAATGCATGTCCGTGCATCAGAGTGCATGCGGAAGCCCTCGTTGCACTCGCAGTGGTGAGAGCCCGGTGTGTCCACACACGTCTGCTGGCATCCTCCATTCAGCTCCTCACACTCATTGACATCTGAACACACATATACACACACACATTACATTACATGTCATTTATTAGACACTTTTATCCAAAGCGACTTACATACATTCAGTACTGTGGACAATCCCCACAGGAGCAATTTGGGGTGAAGTGTCTCAGGGACACAACGACATGCTAACTGCAGTGGGACTCGAACTTGCTATCCCCTGATTCGAAGTCCATCATACTATCCACTGAGCCACAGCCTCCTCTCTCCACACACACACACACACACACACACACACACACACACACACACACACACACACACACACACACACACACACACACACACACACACACACACACACACACACACACACACACACACACACACACACACACACACACACACACACACACACACACATATAAGCATGTATAAATGTTCATTAGGGTTAGGTCCCCTATTATACTGTTTTTCATCAATATATTACAGGTCTCGGATATATACAGAGCCTGTTTCTGATTGGCTGAAACACCAAACAGATCATTGCAGCATTACCCATAATCCCCTCTGTTTCAGCCCTGTTTCAAAAGTGCTGATTCTCTGTCTGTTACTTTAGATGAAAATAAGGAGCCCCTCCCCACGCCCCTCTGAGAGACATTTGGTTACAAAGAACTCAATGGTGCTCTAGGAGGAGATTCAGGTGATAAGGGGGGGGGGGGGGGGGGGGTACCTTGGTTGGTGATTGGCTAATGGTTACACAAGCCAAAAAATCGTTATGACATCATAAAGTGGCCAAAATCTGATCAGCTGATTTTCAGAGAGGTTTGTATATAAATGGATCAGGACAAAACAACTGAACAATGCCATAAACCCAGAGACTGCATGATAACCAGAACCACTTCAACAGACATTAAAACATGTTAGGAATGCCAGCGTGTCGAGGATTTAATTTACGAGCATGCTATAGTCATGAACATGGCACCATTCGAAGCCCATATAAATGCTCTCTCTGCGCTGTTAAACAATGAAAGATTGAGAGGTTTGGATAATTGCAGGAAATGAAGGCTGAAATGAATGGGAGCTTAAATTGAGCAAAGACATTTATTGCGTCTTTATTAAATCTTACATCCAGCTCTCAGGCGGTCTAATTAAACATCTGCAGCGAGCAAATTAGAGGAAAAATTGAAAGCCCATTTCAAGATTTAAATTGTATTTTTCTCAGTGAGCTCTATTTATGAGTACGCTGTTCGGCTGTAATGCTTTTTTTATGTTTAAAGATAACACATTATGCTAATTTTCAGGTTCATTTTTGTATTTTGAGCCTCTCCTGGGACATGTCTCCATGCTTTAATGTTCAAAAAGCTCTTTAATGTTCTCATACTGCCTGCTGCAGCACCTCGTTTCACCCTCTGTCTGAAACCAGAGCCCAGTCTGCTCTGATTGGTTAGCTGGCCGGCTCTGTTGTGATTGGTCAACCGCTTAGAAATGTCCCGCCCCTTGGCCTATCACGTACAATGTGTTGGAGCAAGTGTTACACAGCGATGTCAAAATGTGACTGAAGTAAAATAAGGAGTCTAATAATATGTTGCAAACTAATATTTTGCTGGTTGTGGCGCAGTGGGTTGTGCGTTGGTGTTGGGTCAGGGGGTCACAGGTTCAAACCCCACTGCAGTCAGCATGTCGTTGTGTGTGGGGATTGCCCACAGCATTGAGTATGTAAGTCGCTTTGTATAAAAGCGTCTAACAAGTGACATGTAATGTTCTGGTTGTCTTGCAATTAAACAACTATACAAAGTATTATTAGTTTTAGGGTACACGACAACACTGACACAATAGAAGAAGAAAAAAACATGTGTAATGTGTAAACTTCACCACAACAACTTTAATGTCCAGACATGAACCAGTTCAAGAGGAAATACAGAGAAATTATTTTCTCGAGGTACAGGGATGGGGAGGGTGTTTGACTATGTATATATGTGTATGTAGGTGTGTACAGTATATGTATATGTATATGTACATACATGTATATATGTGTATGTGTGTGATGTATGTGTACATATGTGTATATGTATATATGTCAATCAACAGGTAAAGCAGATTAATAATAATAATAACAATAATAATTAATAATAATGATAATTATTGCAGATTATAGATTATAAATAAATAATTTAGGGACAAGGGGGTGAGATTAAATAAATTATACTTCTTCTCACTCCTTTTCGAACACTAGATGTGGCACTGTTTATGTTGCTAATTCTGTTGTTGTTGTTGTTGTTGTTGTAAATGTAATTTTTTAGTTTTGATTTCTCTTACATGACTGCACTGCAAAAAAAAAAATGTTTTGTAATTATTTATTTTACTTGTTCGAAATAAAATGTATCAATCAATCAATTTGAATATGGTTGAAAATGCTAACACCTTATTTTGAAAGATTTCTTGTGCCTTTGACCAAGACTTTAATTTCCCACTGTGAATGTGTATAATGTCTTTGGGTTGAATAATGAATGGCTTATCACGCAGTTCGTGCAGTAGCAAGCGTGCAATCAAATTCCTCCACAGAATTGCATATGTTTGCACGTGAGTCCGCCGTAAGCTCATATTCCACAGAGACAGAAGCTGGAGGAGAACATACCTGAACAATTTACTCAAGGACAAGCAGGATTTACAACACATCTGGACAACACATCATCACACGTCCTCCCCAGCCTCCTCCCGCTTGTCATCTCTGACTCGAACTAGTGATGATTGAGTAGATGTTTGAGAAAAAAAAGTGCCATTTCCCTTCTTTCTTTTTTGGAGAAGAGGCGGGGTTAAAAACGAAGCATGTGGTTCAGTTTATCTCACCTTCATTTAGGCTCCCTTAGAGGTCAAAGAACTTCCTAAATTGTACAACTATAAGATTTTTAAAAGTGTGTGTATGTTTGTAGGCACTCTCAACGCCATGGGAAAATCTGTCTGCAAAATGATGTCCAGACTATTTTAATTAGCTTGTTTACAATAATGGCAGCTAAAAAGGAAGCCTTTTACCATCAAAATAACCCTTTTCATTCCCTGCACATACTTGTGATTAGGTTTAAGGGGATTCATAATAGTCGGCAAAATGGATTTAGACATCAGCCCGAGCACTGAAACAAACACATGAAGGATCATGAAGCGGCGCTTTTGTGCTTTAACACATTGGCAGCTATTGCAGAGGTTGCCTAACACGCAAAACAATGGACTCCTGGGGGAGGTTTGTCAAGGTTAATATACTTAGTTAGTCTCCTCATGTGAGAGGATTTCAATAGGGGACACACAATGGCTGCTTTTCAACCGAGGAGAGAGGGAGCGGTGGTGTCGGAGGTCGAGGGGCACGAGGTCTGAATGGTGTATCGCGTGACAGCGTCTGAGCTGCTGAGCGAGCATCTACTGCCAGACAATGTCGCCGACTAAACATTTGGGAGCGCTGCTGAAAGCAACGAACAGGTGGTGTTCAGAAAGAGCACCACGGGAGATGAGTTTACTCCGCACGATGATTTAGGAGAAAGTATTTGAATGGGACAGGATTTAAAGTGATTTAAATCGGTTTGCTTAAGTATGATCAAATGGTTGTATAAAAATACCTATTTCTGGTCATTAGAATCATCAAACAAATGAGAAGGAATTGGCTAAAAGATAATAACGTAGTAAACCCACAATGGAATAACTTAGTAAATGACATCTATGGAGAAAACAACTATGAGAATTAGAAACCAATTTCATATCTTTGAGGAAAGGTGAGAAAAATGGGTCAAGTGTAGAACAATATATATATATAAGAATGTATACCTGAGTATTAATAATGTATCCATTCTTTTATTTGTAATATTATTATTTGTATTATTTCTTTTTGGATTTGTCGTCTGTTATGTAGTTAATCTATGTACCTAGATGTGTTTATTTTGTTATGTATGCTTTGTGAATATTTTCTTAAAATGAAAATGAAAATAAAACAATTATTGTATGAGCAGTGCAGAGATACTACTCAATTGACTTTAAATGTCAAAGGGAAAGATCCTACACATCTCTCACTTTTTAGAAAACGTTAAAAGCTCCACAAATATTTTATCATTCGCAGATATACTTATGTTTTGATACTGAGCACAAGATGTGTTTCACACAAAATGTATTTTCTTCTTTTCTAAGGTTACATTGTTCTGTTGTCTTACATAATAAACTCACATGTGTCAAACTCAAGGCCCGGGGGCCAAATCAGGCCCTTGGTGGATTTAGTACCCATTTTTTTATTTTGGCCCACTGTGTATTTGAGTTTGACACCCCTGCTGTCAGTGCTGTTCTTTATTTTCTACTGTGTATATTTGCATTGCAGGTAATCCAAAAAGTAATCAGGTTACATTACTTTTACATTTTGATAAATTACTATTAATTGTAATGGAATACATGTTTACAGGAACCCTCCAAACCCTGCATATGTAGGATTTTATAATATGTTAAAGTCCCACATTTAAATGAATGTAATGGCCCTCAAGATTCTGCAGAAAGGTCAGGTCATATCATTTGAATTCTCTAGCCTAAGTTGCCTAAGCCCGACTTAACCGTCTAGACTTCAGGTTGTAAAGCGCTGAACCCATGAGCGTTACTTTGTTAGAACAAGTGGTGGGGACAATTTCTACAGATTTAACATCAGCGTAGCAGAAGACAAAATATGTCACTCCCCATGGTGTTGAACCTCGAGCAGCTGCATGACAAACCAATGCATAGACCTCTGGACCACCAGTGTGTTTTTAAAAAAATGAACGCCCAAATATAGGTCTTGCTGTGATGTGATTTGGAGTGAATTTGCACCTTTATGCACACAATGAGAGAACATGACATAAGTATAAAATAAGAAAATGCATAAATATGAAATAAATACAGGAATACAAAAATACAAGAATAAATAAACGTGAAAAAAACTAAAATAAATTCATAAATGTGGAAATAAATAAATATACACAAGAAAAACTAAATAAATGTATAAATAGAAAAATACAAGAACACACATTAAATATCTTTAATGTATTTCTACACTTATTTTCACTTGCATTCATGTATTTATTAATGTATGTGTCTGTGCGTGTTTCACAACAGCACCGGGAATTCCCAGCGTATTCATGTTCTGTAAAAACTGTAAAGCCTCCAGAGACAAAAGTACAATTTGTGATATTGTGCTACATACATAAACTTTGATTGACTTTGATTAATGGACTTAGCGCAAGAAGTACACTTCACTTCAGAGCCCTCAAGAGCCAGATATAAATGTTTATTAGCGTCAAAAACTGTGTTGCTATTAAAGGTTTTGCTACTACCTAAAACTCAGTAACAGGAGTGTAAGGGATGGGATTTTTAACAAGTTTGAGATCTTGCAGGGGGGTCCAGAGAGATCCTCCCCCAGAATATATTGTATTTCTTTTAACATTAGCATTATGGTAATCTCTGACAAGACAATAAAGCAAAAAGACAACATTTACTTCAGGCAAACAGGCCACACAACATTGCCGCAAGCATGTTTTTGCGATATTTTAGAGTCAGTAGAGGAAGGAGGAATTATTTTAATTTGACATTACTTTTATTACCTGTTAAGCCCCATAGATCCGCTAACGCACTTACCACAGAACTCACGGTAGAAATACTTTATTACTTATCGGATCTGCACAAACAAGGTATCATATTAAAGCTGAGATTCCACAGATTCTAGAGGTATCAGTATCATCACTGTGCGACCAAAACTCGTGGCAGCTCAGGCAAACCCAGACAACACACAGCGTAGCTTTACTGAGCCAAAACGGCAAATATGTTTCTGATCAAAAATTGTGTTCAATGGCATTAAAACGAGAAAAACGCTACTGAAGGTTAATCCATAGGTTAATCCAATGTGTCTGTGTCACTTTGAAATTATTACTGATAATCCATCATTCCATTTTGGTCAAAAACGGAGATTTCATATTAGCTGCTATTAGCTGCTATTAGAGCTACAACCCAGCTTCCAGTTTTGGGCTAGTGCGCATCACTCTCACTCTTCAATGGAAATGTGTAGATGGATTTAGGAACTTCCCCTCGATTCTATTGGCTCTAACGGTTAAAAAGAGATGTCAATCATCACAATTAACCAAGGGGGGCCAGAGATATGGCAAATCCACCCAAATTACCCCAGAAGTGGGGTTTTTTCTAAATCTCTCTAAAAAGGTCAAATTCCACTTGTTTTGCATCAATCTTGATACAGGGTACTTATTATATGTTATAGTTTTGATTCCTAAAGCTTTTAGTCTACTATCCCATCATTCAAGGGTGGTTTTCAATATAAGTAATGGGTTTTATTTTGGACGGAAAACCATAATTTACATTTTTTTACTATGTTCAATCTGAATTTACTTCAAAATAAAAAAACATCTATATTGATTCTGACTTTTCTACATCCAACTCACAGGTTTATCATTGCTTTGAGAAAAAAGATTATTAATTTACCCCTTTTAGAAGTGAAAATATATTAATTTGTTCTGGGAATGTCCTGAAAAACAGGCTTGGGACTTAACAGGTGCTGCTGCACAGCGGGAGCAATGTCTTTTTTTAAATGTTATATCAAAAGTTGACTTACATGACCATGTACATCTTGACATTAAACCAGTGTTCTTCTTTATCACATTTCTTTGTGCACGCTATTTTCAGAACATTTACAAGTTATACTTTTAAAAAGTGGTTAGGACATAATTGGCCATTTCAAAAAGAGTCCCCAGCGCAAATGATGCCAAGGTCTGAACCTACACACACAGCAAAGCTTTCTAGTAAGCTTCTTTTCTCAGTTTGGACGTCTCAATTGTCTGAAATATAATAATAATAATATATTAATTTTATATAGCGCTTTTCTGGACCCAAAGACGCTTTACATTTGGGAGGGGGGGTATACAAACAAAACAAAAAACAGAGACAAAGCCAAAAAGAAACAAAACACAACATATGCTGAGTTGGTGTTGGGCACTGAAGCCCATTTGTTCTTTAGAGATACAGGTGTGAACAAGTGCCCTGACCTTTAACCTTTAGGACAGGATGTTGACACTCCGTAATGATTTAAAGTCCGAAAGCTGACCAGGGGAGAAGGCAAACGGAAGTAACATCAGCAGCTGTGTGTGGTCGTATTGATGGGGAAAGAGAGCCAGTTTAAGAGGAAATATACCTGTTGTTATTATAACCCTTTAAATAGGCAAAACTATTTGGGAAAATTAATGAATTGCTATTTTTGTATGTATCCCTACTAAAATGATAAATAAAGTTGTTGTTTTTCGTTAAAATGTGACCTTTTTTCCCACTTACGCAATCACATTTGATATATTATTGAACCCATGTTACATTTAACTTTCACCCCTTTTACACCTGTATCAGATCCATGTTACACCCATATTAAACCCATGTTCCATCAAAATTACACCCATTTATACACCCATATTGCACTGTTATAACACCCATTTTACGCCACTCATAGTACATCCATATTACACTTATATTACACCCTTGTTCAAATGTATCACCCCATAGTTCACCCATGGATTAAACAGATATTTTAATAATCTTTATAAAAATGTTTGATTTGTATAAATGTTTAAAATGGCGTCCCCTCACCTCTTGACTCTTTAATTGTTCACATGAAGAAAATCCAATATGTTTCAACATTCTCTTCACTGAGCTCAGATTAGCCATCTTCCTATAACAGTCTGTCTGTGTTTGTAGACATCCTCTACTTCCAGGTTCAAGGTTCAAGGCTTCAAGGTTCAAGGCTTTTATTGGTCACACGTGCATACTGTAGCTACAGTGTAGTTATGACGATGAAAATCTTAGGTCACAGATGTGCGTCTTACCGTGACACGCTCTGCCGTCCGGCCCCAGTCGGCTGCCTTCAGGACACTTGCAGTAGTAGCTGCCGATGGTGTTGCAGCAGAATCCCTCACAGCCGCCTTCATCCCGCTCACATTCATTAACGTCTGAAAGATTAAAATCGCAGATTTATTATTTAACAAAACAGAAATACTTCCTGTCCCTTTTTAGCTAACCTGAGAGATACAGCAGCTGTATCTTCCTACATGCTCAGCGACTTCATTCATACAACTGAGATTGAGGATTCTCTCTCCACTCTGCAGACTCTTCTACCTTAAAACTTCATCATATCAGCTCCAAAAGGACTCTTAACCTCACTCATGGATTTCCCATTTCCTCCCATGTTCTGAGCGTAAAACTTTTTCCAGGTTTGTTCCTTGTTCACACTTGTAGACACTTTTTCAACTGCTGCTATTTTCACAGTATGTTTTCCACGAGGCTGCAAAATGGCTAATCCCTTTTGCAGATACAGTGTTGGATGGTTGATTGAGCAAAAAAAGCAGATGGTGACAGAGAGAGACATGGATTGGCTTCCCTGGACCCCCCCCCTGTCAAAGAAGAAGACCAAGGTAACAGAGTGGAAAGGGGATCTGTTATCATTCTTAGTAGCTTAGCAATTTGTAATAGTTTGTTTATCTTTGAATAACAGGACATGTCAGAAGCTTGGAGAGACATTTAGGAAAAGACAAGAGGCAGCTGGAAGAAGAGAGTACAGTAACAAGACATATCAAGGCCTGCCTTTATATTAATGACAACAGATTGTTACTCTGTTAAAGGGGCCATATTTCAGGTTCATATCAGTATGTAGTGTCTCTACTGGGACATGTCTCCATGCTTTAATGTTCAAAAAGCTCTTTATTTCTCTCATACTGCCTGTGCTGCAGCACCTCTTTTCACCCTCTGTCTGAAACCAGAGCCCAGTCTGCTCTGATTGGTTAGCTGGCCGGCTCTGTTGTGATTGGTCAATCGCTTAGAGATGTCCCGCCCCTTAGCCTATCACGTACAATGTGTTGGAAAAGCTAGCCAAAAGAGCGCTAGCCAATAGAAGTGCGAGCGTAGTGATGTCATTATGTTACAGAAGTAAACAAATGAGTCCAATGGAGGCTTGAGAGAACATTTACATTACAAAAAACCTACAGAATAACACACTACAGGAAAGGGAAAACTGCAAAAGGCACAATAGGGCCTCTTTAAATTCCCCCACCAATGTATTTTCTTTCATAAACAAGGAAGTGTGTGTGTGGTTCTTACTAAGCTTTTAAATTATGTTTTTCATATTTGTTTAGACTTCACGTGAAGCAGTATTTATTTCCCATTGTCTCAATCCCCTGGGCAAGTATGAAGGTTAATCTAAAGCACATACAGTGTAATGGACTGCTAACAAGTTAAAGCCAACATACTGTAGATGAGCTCCGAAGTGCCTCTGGTTAAACACCTGGAAACAATTCATGTGTTACGTCTCCTCAGAGGAGAATTGCCAGTATTCTCATTTTGGTCCATTCAGGGGATGTCAGATTTGTCTACACTGTATTTTATCTGCAGGAAGACACTTGGGTAGAATGGATATCTTAGCCAGTATTATAAACAGACATGGGTATGATAAACAGACCCTATTGCTCACACAAAATGCATCCGCCTCCATGTGTAAACTTGTACGAAAACACAGACGTCCCATAGTTCAACATTGTCTCCAGCTGACCATGTGAGAAACATTATCGATTCTCTATTCCCATCGTTTCATTTCACGAGATGCAAAGCACGAGTGGTGCTGTTTTATGAAAAGCACATGTTTTTTCAGTAAATCTCCCCTGTGGAGAAGATTAGATATTAACACATTTCTTACAAAAGGGGAAACGAACAACCTGAGATTGTCACGATCTGTCTTTATGGTGTTTTGTCTTGTCTAGATCTGTTTTTGGTTTTCTGTCTGCGTTGTGTCTTGTTTAAATCTGTCTGTGGTTCCCTGTCGTTAGTTTCCCTGGTGTGTCTAATTTACCCGATTGTGTTCACCTGGTGTCCCCGTGTTTTCTCCTCCCTCCTCACCTGACTCAATAATAAAGGAGTTTTTTTCAGTTTATATCTGCATTTGGGTCCTGCTTCCAACATACACCATAACATTACTCCTTTATTTCAAGGCTAGGATATAACAAAGACAAACCAGAACACTCACCGACGAACTAGTCATGACACAAGACCAACCGACAAAGACAGACAGAAAAACCAGAACTTAAATACACACAAGAATAATCATACAAACAAGACACAGGTGAGGAGGGAGGAGAAAACACAGGGACACCAGGTGAACACAATCGGGTAAAAGACACACCAGGGAAACTAACGACAGGGAACCACAGACAGATTTAAACAAGACACAACGCAGACAGAAAACCAAAAACAGATCTAGACAAGACAAAACACCATAAAGACAGATCGTGACAGAGATTGAAATAAAAAAAGCTCACAGAACAAATGTCTCTTTTATGGTTGTTATTAAAGTGTATTAGTCGTTTGTTTCCGGATCTACCGTCCATATCGACGAACACAGTCTACAGCAGGTTATGCAGCAGCAATGTTAGTGAGAAGGACGGCAAAGAAGCACCATTAACTGCAACAATGGTGGCTGTAGTTTAATATTTAAATAGAATTGTTGGTAAAAGTGCCCTGAAAATAATCTGTAGATTCCTGCAGGACCTCAGAAACTAAGGATGGGTCGCCATTTGTGTTTAACCGGCCACACCCACACTTGGTTTCTAAGGGCAGGCAGATTTATCTGGCTCATCTGTGGAGGCACACTTTGTTTCGGGAATTAAGATCATATATTTGCCCGATTATTTTTACTTAGGTTCAGCTTTCCTTGTAACAAACTAGTTCGTCCACCTAATTTGTTATATTTAAAAGTATTCAATAGGATTTAAATGCAAAAACACTTTTTAATACAATTTTTTTCCTCAGCAACGGATAATAAAATAACAGGATGACATTGCTTCATCTCCCTGCCAGTGCCTTGGTCTTTTCTCACACAGTAGTCCATCGTTCAGCATGTTTACGATCGCTCGCTGTGCGTCTAAGTAAACTTCTGTCTAACCCTTAAAGATGTGCACACACACACACACACACACACACACACACACACGCACACACACACACAGTTGCACACAGAGAAACACCCCCTTCCTTTACTCTTAGGGATGTGACATGGCCCCTTAACCTCAGGACTCTCCCCCTCACACACCCCCACTTTGATCCAACAGCTCCTGAGAGTCTTAATGAGCTCTGCATATCAGCTCAGGGTCATTTACAATCATCATCATCATCTTCATCATCGTCAACATGCCGAGCACAGATTCATTCAGGCCCTCTCAGAGCATTGAGGGAGTTTATAGGTTTATATGTAACATTACAAAGACAGAAAGTCACATGCATCTCAAAGGGCAGGGATGGGAGGGTAACTTTAAAATGTATACTGTTACAATTACTAGTTACCTGTACAAAATATAATCAGTAACCTAACCTGAGGATCAGTATATAAAAAGAAAGTATTCTGATTACTTTTTTTTACCCTTTGATTATCTCAAGATCAAATGCAATGCAAATTAAGACAAGAAAAATTGAATATCAAGAAGATGTTTTTTACTGAAGTGTTTAATGCAAGACAACAGAACAATGGGACCTTCGAAAAGAAGAAACCAAGATATCTAGGATCAAAGCTGTGTCCTCTAACAAAGTAGTAGCTACTAACCAAAGTTGTAAATAGTAAAGAACCATCCTTGCTTACAAAATGTGCGTAAAGTGTAAAATAGCATGAAAACACTTGAGTAAATCTTCCTATAAATCCACCACTGGTAGTCTACAATGTGGTGACCAAACTGCACTGCAATCATTTTGTCAGTTTCCTAAATAAAACCCTTGCTTTAAATGTAGCCTCAAATAAAACTTGTTAGCCAAACCTCAAAGAAAAACAGTTTCCTCGTATCGATTTCCAAATGTTGCTATTTTTGACTTTGTGGCTTGGCTTGTCACGAAAGTCATCACTCACACTCTGGCCAAACGTGACGGTCATCAAGTGAGGAAGAATGTATAAAAGTGCTTTAACATGTTGATGAGAGCAGCAGCAGTGCAAAGACTCTTGGACCAAACCTTTAGGAAAAGATGTATCGTTTCAGAGACTCAGGGAATTGAGATGAAGAGGGATTTCAATATAAGGGGACTTGAACCGGCGACCCTACGGCTCACAGTCCAAGCCACTACTGACTGAGCCACTGCCAGAGGAGGAAGGTGCAAGCGATGAAAACTTTGAAACGATTCAGTCACAGACGCTCTGTTTCACACCCTATGAACACTTAGTTTAAAATGAATGTTTCCTGAGTTTCAAATCACAGCTTTAAACTAATGTATACATTGTTCAACAATTGTTGTTTTTAGTTGTTTGGTAACAGTGCTGTCCTGCTAGTAATCCCCAAATTGCAGATAGAACAGTAATCTGATAACATGTGTTTCATGTAACTGTTTGTTTAGTAGCTTTTGCTCTTGACAAAAGCTACTCTTCCTGGGGACCGACACTTAAAACAATACAACAACATTCAAGACATAAATCCAGGGGCCTGTACTACGAAGCCGGTTCAACCTAACCTCGATATGTTTGAGTTAGCCGGTTGGCCTAATCCAAAACATACGCGCTCTCGCTAAACGGTACTACGACGCGGGTTATCAAGTGGATCGCTCAAGCCAGCCGTGCCCTATCTAGTTAGGTGCGCGTTCACATGAAAGGGGTGGTATCTGGAGCATTCGACCAATCACAAACATGGACAAGCGTACTGACAGCGCAGCGTCATACTTCCTGAATGAAAAGTCAACTTTAATACTAGTCAAAAATGAAGAAGTTAAACTTTAAACATCCATGACTTAAACACTTGATCCAGGATCAAAGCCACAGAGCTGCACCTGCAAGGTGAATACAGCTGGTAAAAGAAAAAGTGTTTGAATGCGGACATTAACAGGTTTATGATATCACTGCCCCGTCTAAGACACGATCTGACTTTCATTACATTTGTCTCGAGTGTTTCGTCAACTTAATGTGTTGCTTAAAATAATACTTCTGCATACAGTA